TTAACTTTATATGAAAATTGCGAGTAGTCTTATAAAATTGCGAGTTCACTTTCTTGGTACTCGCAATTATTTGCGAGTTGTAATTTTAGGGAGTTTCTAACCCTGAGTGCACAATTGTTTTCAATTGCAATTATATTTTGTAGATATTAATATCTATTCACAACATGGACAATTAAATGGTGTGTTTTTTCTTGACAACAGAACAGCTGAACAGTACTGGAGATGAACCCAGTGTCCACATGACTCACATTGAGCCCATTTGACAATAGCAATTTCATGCACATTTCTTGACTTCACATAGAAATTTTTACAAACGCAACACTTCTCATTTTCACTCATCTGCAATTCATGTTCTTCCTCATCTGAGTTTAGAATATAATCATCTGAGTAAGTAAGGTTGATGCAAGATGGTCCAGGCTGTTGAGAGTCCGATGATGCAATACACTTCTTGTTCTTCTTTGGTTCCTGTTTATTTTTGATTGGTTTTCTCACAGTTTTTGTAGTTTTAGAAGTTAATGTGTTGCATGATTTTTTTGGTTTTTTAGCAGTATTGTTTAAATATTCTCTCATTTTCCCAAGCGTTTCATCCTCAGTTACAGCTTTCCCTCAATTACATGCTTGATATTTCTTCTCTTCTTTTTTAAGTTTTCAATTTTACATTGAACTTCTCCCCCTTTTTTGAAAAGAAATCTTCATTATTTGATAGGTTACTATCTCCAGTGCAGTTTGTTTGTTTCTCCCTGCAGGTTGTGTCTGAATTTGCAGGTGTCATTTTTGATGTTGCAAGTTCATTTGCTTCAGTGGCATTTTTTTCTTCAGTTTCAATTTCTAGATTATCTCCTGTTTCATTTTGGTAGAGGATTGATGGAGTAATTTTTTGCTTTAGTTTTTCTATCATGCTATCGGCTGATTGAAAAGGATGGATGCCAGATTTTGAAAATGCTGACTGAATATTGGTTGGAGACAAGGCAGCAGTGTAGGCTTTGCAAGCAAGAGCACAAATATCATAACGGGTGACTGTTTTGTGATTCAAACGTGAAAAAGATAGACATTCGTGATTGTATTTTAGTTGAAAGGGTCCAAAGCAACCTACATCCATTGGTTGCAAAATATGTGAGCAGTGAGGAGGCAGAACAAAAAGAATAACATTGTTTTTAGCCCAATCTATTAGATCTAATGAAATGTGGCTTCTATGACCGTCATAAAGGGCAAGTATAGTCGCAGACTGATCTCGACCTTGAACATACTTTAAAAAGTGGTTTTTCATATATGAACGGAAAACTTCCGAGTTTGACAATCCGCTAGGTGTTATCGTTCCATCAGCTCCCTTTCAAAAGTTCCGGCATCATCCGCTGACCTGGAAAAACAAAGTATGGGGGGATTTGATTTCCTAGTGCATTCCCAGCACCGATTACTGTAATTGTTTTAACTTTTTTCTGATATAACAGCTTGTGGATGGTATCCTTTTCCTGCAACTATATTAGGGGGCTTAAACTCAGTATTCATTCCCTTTTCATCGATGTTATATATCAAATGGGGCTTATCCTTTAAATTATACTTATCAAGAATTGATTCAAGTTCACTGAAGTATGATCTTATTGAAGTTTCTGATGCACATCTGGCCCTTAATTCCGACAAACTTGATGGTTTAACAATTTTAATTCTGGCCATCTGCCCATAAAACTGTAGAACCATTGCATGCTTAAGCATTTTTCTTCCATCCGTTTCTTTCCAAGGTGAATGGCATAATCTGTTGCCATGGTGAATACTTCTGTCCTTGTATAACCATATCCAACAGAAGCTAATTCTTTGTTTACAAGTTTGGCCTCCTCAAACTGAGACAGAAGTGGCTCTGGACCAGTTTTTGTACAGTCAATGTTAACCCTATTGTCACCACGATCTCTAAGAGTTGTTAAGGGAACAGCATGTTCCTTAGCTGCCCTATATACAGGGACTCCATCTTGTTTCACTGACTGATACGCCCTGACAAGTGCAGATGGGGAATAACAACATTTTCTTTTATTTGTTACTGCCTAAAATATTATAAAAAGTGACATTATTCTTGCAAATCATCTAATATTATGACGGTTTTTGGCTTTCCATGCATAGGAAAACTAATAGAGTCACATGATTAATTTCAATACCAAAATACCTCACCGGAAGTGTATTTTATCAGATGATGAGCGTCTTTAGATACAGTGCGAAACAAAAGGGTTTTCAGACCATTTTGATGACCACAATTTTTGATAATAAGAAAATGAGTATTTTTACCACTGATTGCTTTATTTTTATGATATTTACCTTTGCACGCAGCATATTTTCGATCTTTTGCATATATTGATGTTGCGAGATTCCCTACGTCAGGTGTCCTTAGTAATTACAAATATGACGTCATTTTAGGGAAAACTCACACGACGAAAATAGACTATCGAAAACATATGACTATCGGAAACATATGACGGCATGATAACTGTTAGGTCATAAATTAACTGTTGTTTATAGCCCCAAAACTTTCAGAACTTTGATTGCAATTGTGCAGAAAAAGACACATAGATCTCCAAGAATGATTTTTTCATGAATTGTTTTCAGATGAGTTGAAAGTTGAAAATTATCACTGCATCAAAGTGCAATTTTCTGCACTTTCTCGGAAAAATGCTAATTTAAGAAATAAGTTTGATTTAGTGGCTAAATAAAGCTACTTCAGGTAGGTAAATAAAGCTATGTAGGTAATTCAAGCTACATAGCTAAATCTAGTGATTGTACCAGATCTAACCATAGTAGGACAGTAGGGATAACTTTATCAAGAGAAGGTAAATATTTCGTGTCAAGCCCCTGTGTTACAACCACTATCATGTTTGTATCATACTGCTGACACTGGGTTTTTCATTATTTGAATGCTTAGACTTTTTTCCGAGTATAACGAAATCACACCACCGACTCGTAAATATAACAACAAAGTATTTGGTATTTCACCATTTGTTTATCTTCAACAGGTCCAGTGTCGGTTCAAAATCTTCTGATTATACCAAACCTGCTCAATTTAATGATGTTTGAAGTTTTGCTAGTCGGAATATAATTGTATGTAGGGACAGGCTATCAGATAAAATATGTCCTATGTTGTTACAACAGGTTGGGAACAATCGCCCAGATGGGATATATTAACCCGTCTGGGATATAATGTCCCAAATGGGATATAAATTTACTGTGCAAAAAATGAAAATTTTTATCTTGGCTATAAATATCATAAATCTGCATCAAGAGACTTATAAAGGAATAACTTTTGGTTAAGTTTTTCTGTATGCCCTCTGTTCAAGAGATTGATCCCTCGGAAGTTCCTAAACTTCTTGGGGATCAATCTAACAACCCATAGGGTTGCAGAAAAACTTGTTAACCAAAAGTTATTCCTTTTAAAGTATTTTGATGCAGATTTATGATATTTATAGCCAAAATAACAATTTTCATTTTCTGCACTGTAAATTTATATCCCATTTGGGATATTATGTATCCCAGATGGGTTATTATATCCCATTTGGGCGATTGTTCCCAACCTGTACAATATGTACCAAACTAGTGCAAATACAGTTTTTAGAATACTGTTACAAATGAAGATTCATGATAACTAAACACCAAATCTATTTTAAATGTATGAGCCATCTACTTCTTAAAAAAAATTATATAGGAGAAGTTCAACAGATTTTCTTAAGATGTTGCCATGGAATTCTTGAATTGTTTATCAGCTTGGCCTTACAAAATTTGCCGCTACCTGGTACTTTTACCCAGCTGAAATCATGATTGTACTGGCCAAAATATTCAGTTGAGAAAAAGTCAATTATTTATTTAATTAAAGTCGCTTCCACCAGGTACCTCCTATTTTTGTCAAAGTACCACATGTTTCTAGTCTTTTTGAAAGCCCTGGTTTAATTAGAATATACATTGACTGCTACATTGTCAACACACAGTATAATGGAATGTTCTCAGACTCACATTAAAATGTTATCACATGTATCATACACACCCGGTATGACAATAGAATTTGTTCCATGTGTTGTCAAAGTAGCAAAATAAACAGGGACAGAAAATATTAATTACACATTTTCTTCAAATAATCCAAAGAGTTTTGAATTTCAGCTTGGCATGTAAATTGGAAGTGAGAAAAGACATTGAGAAATTAGTTAAATTATTGTTTTTATGGATTATTTTTGAATTTATTTGGCCAGGAAAGCATATACAAGCTGAGAAAGGTTTGCTATGATTAATTTGGTAGTTATTTTCAGTATATAACTTTTTGTATTCTTCAAAATCTTCTAGGAGTGGAACTGCTCTGATTTGCCACATTGCAACTATATAGGATGTATTCTAACTGTGGTGAGGGCTTGTTCAGAGACACAGATAGATTATTCTAACTATAAACAGTATGAATGGTATCATTTAAGCGGGTCTGAAGGACATATCATCTTTATGACTAATTATACTCTCTACCTTCTTGCAAGAAATAGAGTATTCAGAGCATTATAATAAAGCAGACAATGACATGAAAGAAAATCACAAAACAAGTAAATTAAAAACTGACCTAGACCATTTTTCATCCTTTCTTCTTGTCTCTGCACAGTCTGCTGATATGTTTTTTTAAAAATCAAAATCAAACTCTTTAAATTACTATTGTCATGCTGAGTAGGAAAGTACCTTCTAATATACTGAATATGCATTTGGCATTTGATACGGAAATTTGGGAAAAAATCTATGAAAAATGTTTTATAGCAATATGCCTACTAAAAATAGCTCTGTTCCAGGATATTGATATACAGTAAAACTTGTCTAATTCGGACACCAATGGTTCCAAAAAAATTGACTGGATTAGACAACATTCTGGATTAGACAACATTTAAAACATAGAGTTTACTGCAAGGGACTTAAGGTTTACACCGTACATTTGTATTAGGCAAGATTTTGACTTACACAATATGCGGATTAGACAAGTTTCACTGTATTTTTACTGACAGATTATTAGATGGACGGTGAAGATTGTAAGTCTGCCCTGCTACACCTGACTCAGGCTAGTGATGATGTAGAGATGCAGAGCTCTACAAAAGAGGAAGGAGCAGTCAGTGAAACGGGCGGAAAATATTCCATTGATTGGAAAAGACGAGTCAAATCGGAGTTCCTGAGGATTAAACATCTGAAGAAATACAAAAAGACAGATGAATTAAAGGTATTAAGGAAGATTAATATCAAACATTATAATCATAATAATAGTCGAGAGAAAAATGAAAAGAAATCTAGAAATAAATTTTAATTCCTTTTCACGTAAATGTGTATTGGAATTTTAGTAATTTTTAAGCTGAATAGTCTGTTTTACATTATCAGCTTAACCATACAGTCAGCAAACCAAATACTCTTATGCTGTTGTTCAGAGGATTTTCATGGAATTTTTTTTCCTTTTTTAGGCAGCGTTTGCAGCAAACAGAGCTACCATAAATGAAGAACTTACAGATCTGAAAGAATTCATAGAATCACAGCCCTCTTACACTCTGCCTCCTCCAGAAACTCTGAGTCACATTCCAATCACTAAAAAGGTGGATCAGATAACATAATAATGAATGAATTTTGTATCAAAATAACAGAATTTTCTTTAAAAAGAAAACGGTATGCAAATGAATAATTTTGCTCAAAATGGCATCATTATCATATGTACATGCTCTTGATTTATATTTTCGAATGATAGAAATTGCAGTTAATGATATATTTCCTGCAAACTATTTTTATTAATGTCACTACATTTTCCAGTTAATGCATTAGCTTCATCATATTGTAGTGTGATGTGAAAAGTAATCTGATGCCAGTCCAGACAACATTACTTAGAGTGATGAACAGCCTACAGTCTATTCCTACCATGTACTGCTGGGCAGGACTTCAGCAAAATTTCATGGCATGTTAAATCTTGCTACAATGTACCTGTATTCTATATTCCAAGTTCCAAACAAAATTACACAAAAAAAATATCATTTAGAAAACTTCTCATTTGCCATAGATGAATCAAACCTTGTAAATTATATCTCGAGTGTGGTTTTAAATTGATTTTATGTTGATATTCAGGTGGAAGATGAAACTGTTTTGCACAATATTCCCTACATGGGTGATGATGTACTGGACAAGGACGTCACATTCATTGAAGAACTACTGAAGAACTATGATGGCAAGGTCCATGGGGAGAAGCACTGCAATGTTATGGATAATGATACTTTTGTAGAACTTGTCAATTCTCTCTGGCTCAACTACCCTGATCCTGATGTTGATGAAGGTAAAATATCTATCCTCCACACACCAGTAGCAATTATACATTGTATATACATGTACATCAAAATAGGAATAGTTATTAGGGCCTGGCTATGTGGGTAATCAATAGTGATCAGTCAGTCTATTCATCTATCATCTGTCCAATATATTCTCCAGGATATATTTATTTCCCCCTTACCCTCAGAATGCCTTTGGGTTGAAGGATGTGCAGGACCTTGATCCAAAAATGTTGGTAGAAGATGAGGGTGTAAGCAGATTTCTGTGTAAAATGCTTGTCCAGACCATATTTAAACCCCCCCCCCCCTTGGTCTGACTTATACTTCACTTAAAGTCTTCCTTTGGGTAAAAGGAGTACTTAATTTCTGCTTTTATATAAGTTTGGCCTACAGAATACCTTGGATCAATGATGTTCAGTGTTTGAACTAGGTCAAACGTGAAGGTCAAAGCAGATTTTGTATAAACTTTGTGGTGTGATGATTATTTTTAGTTACATAATTCTGATAGTCATTTACTCGATAAAATCCAAATCAAGTTTGGACAAAGATTTCTTACACGTTTAAGAAAAAATGACCCATAGCAATTCTCCTTACTAAGATAAAAACATAATTGAGTGTAAAAAGTTCTGTTCAGCAACAGTTTTCACAAGTCTTCTTAGCCCTTATTTTTCTTACATTTACCAAAAGAAGGGACCCTTTAATATGGTCGATATCACAATGATTCCTAGTTGGTTAACGCATTTAAAAATCTGTATTTTAATATAGAAATACATGTAATACAATTGTAACAGTGTTTGAGAAATGAAGAATTAGAAATGAAATATATCTTTTTTTCAGTTGTACAAGTTTTTTTAATGTTTATTTTTTAGAGGAGAGTATGGAGCATTGTAATCAGGATGTACAAAAGTCTGAGTTTCCAAGTGATTCTATTTTTGAGGCCATATCTGCAGAATTCCCAGAGAAAGGAAGTGCAGAACACCTCAGAGAAAAGTATATATATACACATATATATACATGTATATATAGATTGAAATTATTTAAAATTGTATATGTTAATGACTAAAACTGATAAACACAGTCAAACCTCCATATCTTGAACTCGATGGAACCAAGAAAAAAACTGAAATATCCAAGGATTAAAGATATCGAGGGTAAAATACTTAAATAATAAGTAATTGGGGACTTCCAAATCACTTCGACATATCCATGGTATTCAAGATATTAGTGTTTGAGATACCAAAGTTTGACTGTACATGTAAACTTTAAAAATATCATCAAAATTATGAAAATAATTTGTGCAAATATGTATTCTATTTACATGAAATAGTTAAATATTTTGATGTCATTGCATGATTTCTGGCATTTTAAATTCATTTTCTTTACTTCAGGTACAAAGATTTGATTGAAGTAAAGGACAGCAATCTTCCCCCTGAATGTACCCCAAACATAGATGGAGTAAATGCCCAGTCTGTACCCCGTGACCAAACCATGCACTCATTTCACACACTTTTCTGTAGACGCTGCTTCAAATATGATTGTTTCTTACATCGTATGTAGTCTATTCCATTGTAATTTCTTTCTTCGTAAATATCTGGCTACAAGGTTGTATCTTGTATTGTACATGTAAGTATCCTACAACCACAGTGTTTTAGATATGTTGAATTGAATGAAGTATTTAATTCATTACATTGTACACTTTGTGCTTGTAACCATATGATACCATATGGTAACGTCGTTATTTCATCGATGATTTGTGATTTTCAGCATATCATCCCACTCCAAGTATGCTGACAAGAAAAATGCCTGAGACCAAACAAGAAACAGAGCCATGCAGCCCAAACTGCTATCTGCATGTGGTAATTATGAAATGCTTTATGACGTTTAAAAAGGTGGATAAGAGAAAAGGAAATTCATAGATGTTTGAAAACCTTCATTCTGTTTATAGATATATTATTGCGTTGGGTACTGGTGAAAAGATAATTGGGTCCCCCCAAGAATATGGGGGTCTGTCAACAATTTTTTTCTGTTTTTCCTCAAAACTTTTCTAATGATTATTCTGTGAAATTCAGATTTGGTATTTATTTATTTATTTATTAAGACTGTGTTGATACCAAGTTTGATTCTATATTTTATCTGGTTTGGAATGGGGTTTAGGGGTAAATGCCATTCTTTATGCAAGAATAAATTGGTAAGAGAGAGAAATTTTTCCTACTGTAAACTTCTGAAAGCTGCAGTGAATCATCAAGAATTAATTATATTGCCTACTGCAGAAGGTCCAGATCCTAATCTTTACCTGTCACATTAAGATTAATTACCGTATATACTCGCCTATAAGTCGGTCCGCCTATAAGTCGGTTGTATTTTTTAAGCTTGAATTAGAGGGATTGACCCACTAAAATACCAGTCTTTTTATAACTCGCGTATAAGTCGGATAATGAGTTTTGGACCAAAATTTAACTCCCAAAAAACCGACTTATAGGCGAGTATATACGGTAATGCATATCTCTGCTTATGAGTTTTTGTTTGAAAATTAGGTCAAGTATGGGTGATTTTTACTGCTGTCTTTGAAACAATTCAAGGATACTGTTAATTTATTGCAGGCAGTTGGATAAAAATATCACTGTTATTTAGGAAATATGTTTAAATTTCATTACACTATTGGTTGTTTCACTCTTCATCATATCTTTTAATTTACATTTTCTTTATAATGTTATCACTTTCTTATCCATTTCACCCTTGAGTTCCTTGGGGTTAATGATAATGCCTACTGCAGAAGACCCAGAGCATTATCTTTATCTGTCACATTAAAATTATGAATGAACACCTCTCTCTGCAAGTGATTTTTGGTGTTGATGAAAGCTAGCATTTAATAATTAATGCATTCTTCATTCTGGTTCAAATACACAATAAATCAAAACTATTTTTTATGCCCCCGTATCGAAGATTTGGGGATATATAGTTTTTGTCCTGTCCGTCTGTCTGTTTGTCCGCAAAAACTTTAACATTGCCCATAACTTTTGATTGGTTTGAGCTATGGCTTTCATATTTCACATGTGTATTCCTTGTGACAAGACCTTTCTTTGGGTACCACCATATTTGACCTTTTGACCTTGACCTTGGAGTTGGACCCAGTTTTGCAAAAGTTTACCAAACTTTAACATTGACCATAACTTTTTAACAGTTGATGCTAGAGCTTTCATACTTCACATATGTAATCTTTGTGACAAGACTTTCCTTTAGATACAAACAACTTTGACCCTTTGACCTTGGAGTTTGACCCAGTTTTGCAAAAACTTTAACCTTGGCCATAACTTTTGAACAGTTGGTGCTAGGGCTTTCATACTTCACATATGTAATCCTTGTGACAAGACCTTCCTTTTGTTACCAATTACTTTGACCCTTTGACCTTGACCTTGGAGTTTGACCTACTTTTGAAAAACGTTAACCTTGGCCATAACTTTTGAATGGTTGGTGCTAAGGCTTTCATATTTCACATATGTAATCCTTGTGACAAGACCTTTATCTGGATACAAACAAATTTGACCCTTTGACCTTGGAGTTTGACCCAGTTTTGCAAAAACTTTAATATTGGCCATAATGGTTGGTGCTAGGGCTTTCATACTTCATATATGTAATCCTTGTGACAAGATATTCCTCTTTGTACCAATTGCTTTGACTCTTTGACCTTGGAGTTTGACCTACTTTTGGAAAACTTTAACCTTGGCCATAACTTTTGAATGGTTGGTGCAAGGGCTTTCATACTTCACATATGTAGTTTTTTGTGACCTTCATTTGGATACCAACAACTTTGACCCTTTGACCTTGACCTTGGAGTTTGACCTACTTTTGAAAAACTTTAACATTGGCCATATTTTTGGAACAGTTGGTGCTACAGCTTTCATACTTCACATATGTAATCCTTGTGACAAGACCTTCCTTTGAATACCAACAACTTTGACCTTGGAGTTTGACCTACTTTTGAAAAAACACCTACCTTGGCCATAACTTTTGAACGATTTGTGCTACGGCTTTCATATTTCACATGTGTATTTCTTGTGAGAAGGCCTTTCCTTGGGCACCATTAATTTTGACTATTTGACCTTGACCTTCGTGTTTGACTTACTTTTGAAAAACTTTAACCTTTTCCATATCTATTCAATGGTTGCTGCTAGGGCTTTCATACTTCACAGGTATATTTCTCAAGACGAGACCTTACTTTGGGTAGCAAGATATTTGATTTGCATTTGAGAAAGTTTAACCTTTGCTATAAGTTGCAATACGGGGGCATCAGTGTTTTACAAACACATCTTGTTTTTTTTATTATTCCCTTATAGAAATATATCATTAGTTGGATAATAAAAATATTCTGATATAAAGGAAATATTTTTACTCTTTAAATTCAATACTGTGCTCATTTCAGTTCTTCATCATATATGTTAATTTTCCATTTTATTTCTTTCTTAATCAAGTTAATATTCTCCCATTCACATGCACATCCCTTAGCATGACCCTTGCTGACTGATCATTTTCCTAGTTATCATATTCTGACAATAAACATGGGAAAAGCATGGTTTATTTAACATGGTACCACAATATAAAGTTATCAGTTAAATGCTGCAGTAGAGATAGTCATCATAATCAAAATGTTCAGTCCAATCCATCAATAGGGATAGTGGTCAGGGCATAACTGACCCTTTTTGGTACAGGGTCCTGTACCCTTTGGGAATTTCAAATCGAAAAAGAGACAAATTTTGGAAATCTGGATCTGGGTGCAAGGGTTATTAAGCCCTGGTGGTCATTAAGGGATCGATATTAACGATTGTCCAATTGCCCGGGACAAGTAAATTCTTGCTTCGGGCAAGTGAAACTGTTGACTTACTTGTCCGATTGGACAAGTGAGTTTTTCTCATAGAGATGTAAATATTTATTTAGTTTACATTAATTTATAAATCAAATAATAACACTTGATTTCCGCCAGATACCTGACTAACATTGATTTGCATTCGGAATTTCTTAGTAGTATTTTTTACATTATACCTTCCATTCAAAAATCGGGATTCATTTTTAGCTCACCTCGACGAAGTCGAGATGAGCTTATGCTATACCCCCGGCGTCGGCGTTAGCGTCGGCGTCCCGGTTAAAGTTTTAGGAGCAAGTCCATTCCCAAGTAACTATAAGCCCTACCTGGACCAAACTTGCATGGATGATGCATCTAGGGATGGACACTACCACACTTGCTTCGGATGCTGGATCTTACCTAGATTTTCCAGATGAGTGAAGAGGTTAAAGTTTTTGGAGCAGGTCCATTCCCAAGTAACTATAAGCCCTACCTGGACCAAACTTGCATGGATGATGCATTTAGGGATGGACACTACCCCACTTGCTTCAGATGCTGGATCTGACCTAGATTTTCCAGATGAGTGACCAGGTTAAAGTTTTTGGAGCAGGTCCATTCCCAAGTAACTATAAGCCCTACCTGGACCAAACTTGCATGGATGATGCATTTAGGGATGGACACTACCCCACTTGCTTCAGATGCTGGATCTGACCTAGATTTTCCAGATGAGTGACCAGGTTAAAGTTTTTGGAGCAGGTCCATTCCCAAGTAACTATAAGCCCTACCTGGACCAAACTTGCATGGATGATGCATTTAGGGATGGACACTACCCCACTTGCTTCGGATGCTGGATCTGACCTAGATTTTCCAGATGAGTGAAGAGGTTAAAGTTTTTGGAGCAGGTCCATTCCCAAGTAACTATATGCCCTACCTGGACCAAACTTGCATGGATGATGCATCTAGGGATGGACACTACCCCACTTGCTTCAGATGCTGGATCTGACCTAGATTTTCCAGATGAGTGACCAGGTTAAAGTTTTTGGAGCAGGTCCATTCCCAAGTAACTATAAGCCTTACCTGAACCAAACTTGCATGGATGATGCATCTAGGGATGGACACTACCACACTTGCTTCGGATGCTGGATCTGACCTAGATTTTCCAGATGAGTGACCAGGGTAAAGTTTTGGAGCAGGTCCATTCCCAAGTAACTATAAGCCCTACCTGGACCAAACTTGCATGGATGATGCATCTAGGGATGGACACTACCACACTTGCTTCGGATGCTGGATCTGACCTAGATTTTCCAGATGAGTGACCAGGTTAAAGTTTTTGGAGCAGGTCTATTCCCAAGTAACTATATGCCCTACCTGGACCAAACTTGCATGGATGATGCATCCAGGGATGGACACTACCACACTTGCTTCGGATGCTGAATCTAACCTAGATTTTCCAGATGAGTGAATTTTAGCCATATTTCAATCAAATTAGCATGGATGATGTATCTTAGGATGGACACTTTCAGACTTGTTTTGGATTCTGAATCTCACCTACATTTTCCAGATGAGTGACCAGGGTAATGTTTTTGGAGTAGCTATAGAATATTATGGCATGTTATGATTAAACTTGCATGGATGGTGCATCTAAGGATGAAAATTTCCAGACTTGCTTTGGATGTTGGAACTGACCAAGATTTTCTTTATTGGTAAACAGGTTAAAAGTTTTTTGAGCAGGTCTCTGTGCAGATTACTTTCCAAGTAACTATAAGTCCTTCTTAAACCAAACTTGTATGGATATTGATCTTGGGATGAACACTAACTAGAAAAAATATGATGTAAGATTTGCCTTACTTATAGATAACCTTCGTTGAGGTGAGCTTCGTAATCTTTGATTACCTATGTTTCTTTTTTCTTTCTGGTAAATACGCTCTACATATAACAACTTTGTTAAATTCTTATTAGAAAATTAGATTAGTTACACGATGTATCCCAATTAAGATATGAATGTCTTTCTTTACCATTTCTTCACAGTCATCTCTGAAATTCACAAAAGGATCCTAGCGAAAATAAATTTTTAACATATGAATTTTTAAAAAAGGAAATGGAGGGTTATTACTGCATGGCAGTGTGTGTTAACAGGTTAAATTGACAAGGACAGTGATACACATTTAAGTACAAATGCAGCAATGACAGTAGTGTGTTTGGTCAATTTTTTTTCTTATGAAAATATTTACTGTAATAAATAATATTCTTCATTTCTAATATTGGGCAATCAGATTTTGCATTCAAACAAGTTAAAGTTTGAGATCACTTAAGTGAATCTGAAATTTTATGTCTATCCCTGTCATTATTAAAAAATGTTCAGTTCAATCCAGCAATAGGAATACATGTAGTGATCATTATTAAAGTGTTCAGTTACGTCTGCTAAAAGGGATAGTATACAATTATCCACTGGCTGTGAGTGGGATAGCTCTTTTATCAAAAGAGATAGTGGTCATTATAAAATGTCCAGTTAAATCTGGCAAAAGAGATAGTGGTCATTATAAAATGTCCAGTTAAATCTGGCAAAAGAGATAGTGGTCATTATAAAATGTTCAGTTAAATCTGGCAAAAGGAATAGTGGTCATTATAAAATGTCCAGTTAAATCTGGCAAAAGGAATAGTGGTCATTATAAAATGTCCAGTTAAATCTGGCAAAAGAGATAGTGGTCATTATAAAATGTTCAGTTAAATCTGGCAAAAGGAATAGTGGTCATTATAAAATGTCCAGTTAAATCTGGCAAAAGGAATAGTGGTCATTATAAAATGTCCAGTTAAATCTGGCAAAAGAGATAGTGGTCATTATAAAATTTCCAGTTAAATAGAACATTAGGGATCATAAGAATTGTATATATTCTGTGTAAATGTATAAGTCTTAGTCTTTTTTTTTCTTTTTTTTTTTTGCCTGTAGGTTGGATTACCCGATGAAAAAGGAGAAAATGGTGAAGTGAAGAAGGAGGAGAAAATGGATACCAGTATGTATCTCCTGAGATTTAATTTTTGTCTGATTGATTAGAAAAATAATACTTTCACATTGAATTGAAAGTCACTCTGGGAAATAGGTACATATGCCACTTTGTAATATAACATTTGATTGTTTCATTGTAAAAACAGCTTCTAGAAACCATTTACTGGTGAATAGATGTACACTGTAGCTGCAAATAAACCAAAATTTCTACTGTTATTACTTTGGTTTTGTCTTTAGCATTTAGAAGTGTGTATACACTGTCAGTTAAATACTCAAGGGCAAAATAATGATTCTCCTGATAAAATTGAAACTTACATGTAAATCAAAATTACTGTTACTGTCAGGTTGTTATGGGTTTGCTTGATGATTAAAGAAAAATCTGTTATTATTACTTGCAACAATACACAGGGAATTTGATTAAACCTTAAAACTGTGGAAAGTATAGGTATAAAATTTTAATCAGTACACTATTTTAGGATTTTTTTTTGGACACATTTGTTAATTAAAAAGTTGAACTTTTTAAAAAAAAAAATTATTTTTTTAAATTTTTACACCATTTCATTGTTGTAAGTAGTTGCAGCTCTTGCTTGTCTTATTTCAGGTAAAAAATGTAAAACTAGATTGCAAAATAAACGCAAAAGTAAGTACAGTACAAAAGTATAGGTTATATTTTTTCATTCATCAAATTTTTTTTTTCAAGGAAAAAAAGAAACTCATTGTAGACAAATCATACAATAGCTCAAAATTCATCATGCATGACGTGAAAAACAATTTTGCTTATATGTTTTAGTTTCATTTGCTTCCATTTAATCATTATTATTTTTCTTTATCTAAAATATACATCTACAATATACCTCGAATGGATTGATTTGGTGTGAGCTTATGCATGAATTTTCACGTACATCTTGATTCTTAAACAGCCTAGAATTATTTTACATCAGATACTCTCAGAATCGTGATACAATCTTAGTTAGTTTTTTTTTTTTTTTTTTTGTCATAAGAAAAAAAAAATGTCCTCGTATTCAGAAACATTTTATTGTCTTTGCATGGTTTAGTCACCTTTATAAGAGAAAAGTGCATCATGCCTAGTTCTTCAATATTCGCATAATATATTCTGTTTTCTGCTGTGTAAGTCAAAAATAGAAAGAATATTCAAATATCTTTATATGTTGCAGTATTACATGTACTAGGTATTGTGTTGCATATTTTTTCAACCTACATAAAAGAAAAGAAATGCTTTTTAGAATTAGAAAAATGTATCAAATGTAGGAAAAGTTGACTGGAAATAATTCTGCTATTTCTTTTTCTTTTTAACATTGATGATATTTGTATTATAGCATAGTTTAATTTACCCAAAACAGACTTAACTTTTAAATATTCATTAATAGTAATAAAAAAAATTTCTCCTTTAAGTTATTGTGTAAGAGGGGCATTTGGACATGAAAATATTGTTAAACATAGTGTCCGAGAAAAAAAAATTCATTTGAACATTTGCATACATTTATGATTTAATATTTTTTTTATATTGATAAAAAAAATTCCCACTTTTTGTTAATAACCAAAAAAAAAAGAAAAAAAATCAAACATAAAAAAGCCTTAAAAACATGTTTAAAAAAATTAAACAAATTTCAAATTGTACAAGGTTAAAGTGAATCTTTATGGATAGCAAGATTTTTTACAATATCTCTACTTGAATATAACCTATTATTTTTCATTATTAATTTCACTTAGTGACATGATTTTATCATAAGCATCGGTTCTTTGTTCATGTTTTTATTATAAACATGTTTTAATGTACATTTATATGAAACATATTTTATCACAACATACTACAAAATGTTAACTTGATATTTGAATGCTGATTTCTGTTGAAACATTGTACATGTATGTAACAATAAGTTGAGCAAAATAGAGCTTCATCTATATATACACCATTTATTAACAATAAATGGGATGCCTTTTGCATTTTTGCATCATTTTGATGCTGTATTTTGTTTTAAGTTTTCCCTCTCCCTTTTGAAAGGAAAATTATATTCATAAAACAATTAACTTGCAGATGAAGGATAAATTGTAATTACATGTAGAAGAAAGTCATGGTTTCTGAGAGTATCTTAGTGTGAGGAATTGAATAGAAGCAAGCATCATATGAAACAATTGAAACATGATCTTCAATCTTTAATTTAGTGTTAGGAAAAAATGACATTAATATTTATAATTTAGAAAAGTCACTTGAAATATACTGTGCCAGCACTATTTTTTCTTATACTACTAATATTAAAATACACTTAAGGTGTGATAAGACTGTGGCATTTGATGCAATAAATCTGTCAAAGTCATAAAAAGAAAAATAATTTTCTTTCATGTAAGTCCTTATATGTGATTAAGACTTAGTAGATGTCATATCTATAGCACTGCCTCTCAATTCAATAAATGCTTTCCCTTCAAAATGTCTGCAAATTAAAAAAAAACGATTTCCATGGGTTGAAAGTGCAGATGCTTTCTGCTAATGCTGTGAAAATAAAATAAAAAAAACAAAACTTTTCCTTAATCATACTTGGGTTAGAGCTAAAATTCAATCTTTAATAGGATAGCCTATGATTGACACATTAAACAGTACCCTGTGTTGGGAAATTTTGCCCCATGTTATTTCTACCCAAGCAATTAAAGAAATAATTTTGCCACTATAAAACTGTGTACATTTTTTGGAATTGGTCCTCATATAAATTGCATGCTAAGGGTGAAAGCTTGAAAGACAAAAATAAAACTTGGGTAGAAGATTCCCATATACAATTTTCCATTATTTTGTTGTAATAATCTAATTTTTTACAATGGTTACCCGATTGAAAAAAAAGTGAATGATAGATCTGATGATTAATACATTTGAAAACTCTCTTGAGCTCTTTTTCAAATTGATAGTTATTTTAAAATGAAATCAGTATTGATTTTATCATATTTTGCAACGTAAGAAATTGGAGATTTGAAATGGAAATCTTATTTTTCATGCTATGTAATATTTTTTGGAATTTATATGAGTATTTGAAGTACATGTATAAGAATATTTGTAGATTTGTATTATAAAGTAGACAGAAGAATTTTCTCCTTGCAAAGTCATGTAACTGATATGTAGCAATTTATTTTTAATTCAATTAGCTACAGCAAGCCAAAGCTTGTTTAAGATCTAATGATCTTTGAAAAATTCAGCCTTTTTTTTTTTTAAATTCTAATATACATGTGTACTTACGTATTTTAAAAACTGCATAAAACAACTGTATTAATTTCAATTAACCTTAGTCATTTCCAATTGTATATCTTAATTTTTGCACTTTTATGAGAAAGAAAAATTTTTGGTCTATCAAATTTGTGAAAAATGTTTTGAGGGAAGGGAGAATAAAAACATATAACAACTCATGAATATTATGAATAGTACAAAACAAACTGTTCAATTATTATTATTTGGAAGTCCTGTACCCAATACTAAGGGAGGGTTTTAATTCAGTGTCACTTTAATACAGACATGTGCCAGTAAATTGGTTGAAGTGGATTTATTGTAGAAGAAAATTATTTCAGGATCCAGTGTGGACATTAAGCTGGAGAAACAGAAGACAGATAACTGGCTACCTGCCGAGGAATCCTTGTTCCGAGTCATTCAAGACATGCACAGAACAAATTATTGCGCCATCGCCAAACTGATTCGCACCAAGTCCTGTGTCCAGGTATGTTTTGACAACACTGCAGTTAGCCTATAAAGCTATAGATGCCTAAAAGTTCCCATTACATTTTATGTTCAATTACAGTCCAATCTCGAACTCGAATGGACATGGATTTAATATCAATTAAGGACAGATCATACAAACAAACTTTTATCAAAAGTTTTGAAAATAACAATTTAATTCATGTTTTTTATAAGTAAAATGAATAAGTTTAACTGCATACATTTTTGTTTTTCTTTCAAAGTTTCACAATAATCTGATTTAAAGTGACAAAAATTTGTATAGATTATTAAGGATGGTTACAGATAGGTGGAATTTTGGACATCACAGAAAGTTTACAATTTCTTAATATTTTAGAAATTTACTATTTGAATCATTTACAACCAAAATAGGTCAAAAAATATATGCCAATCCAGGCGTCCATTTTTTTTTTTTTTTTTGGTATCCTCTGTCCTCAAGATATCAAAGGATTTGAGATAATGAGGTTAAAAAATGTAAAGAAAAAGACAGACATATCCTTGATATTCAAAAATATTGGTATTCAAGATAATGAAGTTCAACTGTATATAAATTTCATTTTTTTTTTCAGAAATCAATATAACAACTATATGCATACTAAGTACTTGTTTTTATTATAAATCTGTACCTATTCCATTCAGATATTACAATGATGAAAATTATAATTTCTGTATGAAATGGTTTGTTTTGTAGGTTTATAACTTTGCCCTGAAAGAAGCTGCCCACATTCCAGACATCACAGAAGATAAAACACTGACTCCACCCAGAAAGAAGGCCAAGAAGAAACACAAGTAAGAAAAGACGTGTCTATTGGAACCTTAGTTTTGAATTCTTTGTCATATTTTGAGTAATTTATGCATTGAAACAGAAGTTTTTGTTTAACAGTAATTGTTTCCTCACCTATCTCCCTGCAAACTAAAAGAAAAAAAACCTAAAAGTCGAAAATTTATTCAGCTCTCTTTGATGTGTATGAAAGAATGGATTGGAACAAAATGAATTCATAAATTATTTTCCAACTTCTGAAGAGAAATGCACAAAGTGTCAGCAGCAGAAATTACTCTTTACATAGTATTCAATTATCAGAATGTGTTCTATTGAAGTTTTGATGGAATGTTTTGATTTAAATCTGGACATTGGATAATTTTAGTACATGAGTATTTAAAAAACTGATTGACTTTCTTGTTGTAGATTGTGGTCCATGCACTGTCGTAAGATTCAGCTTAAGAAGGACAATAACAGTAGTAAGATGGTCCATAACTACCAGCCATGTGACCACCCTGGGCTCCGGTGCGACGAGAACTGTCCGTGTATCATGTCACAGAACTTCTGTGAGAAATTCTGTCAGTGCAGCAGTGATTGTACGTGTTTAACACTTGAGATAGGTTATAATTTGTAATACCTTTGTTGAATTCTCAGGTTAATTCCTTTGTCTTTTACTTGTAATTTACAAGTGATCAGAAATATACATTCACAGTCAGTGATACTGAAATTCTTTTTTTAAGTTAAATTAATTCAAAATTCATGAAAAAAGTTTCTTGGTCATATTTCAATCTCTGTTATATAATTACTGTAGAAGCACAAATTTTCATGGGGATAAAATTTCATTGTCATCTAAAAAGATTTTGTTGGCATAAATTTTTCGTTGCTTCCAAAGTAACTCTATTCAGTATATAGTCATATTAAAATTTCAAGTATGATTTTATTTCATTGGTAATTGTTAACAAAATAAACAAAATTTAATCCACAACGACTATTTCTGCTTTTACAGTACTTAATTAATTGTATGTTTAGTATTCGACTTGTGTATCTGATGATGATTTTGGATATGGGCCTGACTGAAAGTGATTATGAAATATCTGCCTGAAGATACACTATAAACAAATTTTCTCTGTCAACAAATGGGAAGTTGAAGTTTGAGACGAATTCTTTCCGTCACCCAAATGAAGAAGAGGACTGTGTTTTCCAGTCAAATATCTGTGTTTGTCAATGTATTTACTGTTTCTGTTGTTGTAGGTGAGAACCGATTCCCAGGCTGTAGGTGTAAGGCTCAATGTAACACAAAACAATGTCCTTGCTTCCTGGCAGTTCGTGAATGTGACCCTGACCTCTGTCAGATGTGTGGGGCAGGTAGGTCAAAGTTCATATTGGACTTACACATGGATATGTTTATTAAGAATATTTCCAATTTCTATGCTGCTTCTGTTCATTCAAAGATAATGTGCTTCTTCAACACAGATCAGTTTAATACAGACAAAATTTCCTGCAAGAATGTCAGTGTTCAAAGAGGGTTAAAAAAGGTAGGAAAACATAGCATTATTCAGAGATAGTTTTATTTCTTATAGAACTAAAAGTGAAAGTGTTCAAAGTTATTTTGTTTTATTTAACAGCACCTCCTTTTAGCTCCCTCAGACATTGCAGGTTGGGGAATCTTTCTTAAAGTTCCAGCAGAGAAAAATGAGTTTATATCAGAGTATTGTGGAGAGGTAATTCTCTTTATTTCTTGTAAATTACTTATGATAATATTCAAATGAATTGTTCTTTTTTTTTTTTTTTTGGTACACTGTTTGGTTTTCTCTTAGTTTAGTTTTCTGTTTTTATCCCCTTGCAACAAAGTTGGAGGGAATATAGTAATGCACTTCTGTGTGTATGGGTGAGTGCTCTTTTGCAAGGGAGTGCTCTGTGTTGTGGTGCCCTTGTTTTTAGGTCACCTGAGTCACTCTATCTGTTTTTGTCCATCATCGTCCGTCGTGTGTTAACATTTGAACATTTTCAGCTTCTTCTCTGAAACCGCTCAACCAATTTCAACCAAATTTGGCATATAGCATCTTTGGGAGAAGGGGAACAAAAATTTTGAATTTCATGGTCCCTGCCCCCCTGGGGCTTGAGGGGTGGGGCTAAAACCACCAAAATTAATGCAATCTTAAAAAAACTTCTTTACTCCTGGACATCAAGCAGTCAAACTGTTGGCATAATTGTAATAAGCATTGAGCCCTCTACCATAATTGTGAAATTCATGGCCCCAGGGTCAGGCGTTCTGGTGCTAGGGCGGGGCTATATAGATCATATAGTTAAAGTGCATTATTTCTTTGAAAATCTTCTTCTCTGCTCCTGGGTATTAAATAAACTAAGTAAGTACATAGTTATGATGAGCAAGAGTGCCTCTTCCAAAATTGTGAAGTTCATGGCCCCAGGGTCAGGGGTTCTGGTGTTAGGGTGGGGTTCTATTGATTATATAGTGAAAATGCATTAATTCTTTGAAAATCTTCTTCTCTGCCCCTGGATATTAAATAAACTAAGTAAGTACATACATGTAGTTATGCTGAGCAAGAGTGTCTCTTCCAGAATTGTGAATTTCATGGCCCCAGGGTGAGGGGTTCTGGTGTTAGGGCAGGGCTCTATTGATTATATAGTGAAAATGCATTAATTCTTTGAAAATCTTCTTTTCTGCTCCTGGGTATTAAATAAACTAAATAAGTACATAGTTATGATGAGCAAGAGTGCCTTTTCCAAAACTGTGAATTTCATGGCCCCAGCGTCAGGGGTTCTGGTGTTAGGGCAGGGCTCTATTGATTATATAGGGAAAATACATTAATTCATAGAAAATCTTCTCTGCTCCTGGGTATTAAATAAACTATTCAAGAACATAGTTATGGTGAACATGGCTGCCTTTTCAGAAATTATGAATTTCATGGCCCCTGGGCCAGGGGTTCACGTGTTAGGGTGGGTCTCTATTGATTACATAGTAAAATTGCATAAATTCTTTGAAAATCTTCTTCTCTGCTCTTGGGTTTTAAATAAACTAACTTAGTGCATAGTTATGATGAGCATGGTTGCCTCTTCCAAAATTGTGAATTTCTTGGCCCCAGGGTCAGGGGTTCTGGTGTTAGGCTGGGGCTCTATTGATTATATAGGGAAAATGCATAAATTCTTTCAAATTTTTCTTCTCTGCTCCTGGGTATTTTTCAAACAAAGAAAGTGCATAGTTATGATAAGGAAGAATGCCTCTTCCGAATGTGTGAAATTCATGGCCCCAGGGTCAGGGGTTCTGGTAAAAGGGGGGGGCTCTATTGATTATATAGTGAAAATGCATAAATTCTTTCAAAATATTTTTTTCTACTACTGGTTATAAAGCAAAGAAAGAAGTGTATAGTTATGATGAGCAAGGGTGCTTATTCCAGAATTGTGAGCTTAATATGGCCAATGGGTCAGATGTTCTGGTGTAAGGATGGGGCTTTACTGTATAGGGGATTAATTTCATGGGTTGTAATTTTCACGTTTTTCTCTCCTCTGACACGATTGCGGTTTGTTGAATTCCTGGAATCGGTACATGTATATAATAAAGTTACCTCCCTTGTTTATATCCGTTTAATCCATAGCATAGCTAGAACGACTCAATCAGAATTATGTATTATGTATTCACTTCATGAATATGTACGTTTATATAAAATAGTTAGATTTAATAATTAATTAGTTATTAAAAGTCCTTGACTATAAACAGAGGCCTGCCCATCTCTACTTCACTAAGGAAGTGTTGAGGAGATGGAACAGTGATTTGAGGCTGGAAGCATAAGGTGAACAAATAAGAATAATAAAAATTCTTATCACCAATAACGATTTATCATAATAAGATTAATCAAATATATATAAATATACAAAATTAAAATATGCAAGGGTATTTTTACCAGAATTTTAAACACCTGGACCATTTAATCTTGTGTTTTGGTCCCGGCCAGTGCTCTATTAACTTATATTCTTCTGAGCAAAGTTATTCCCCTTTGCCATTCACCTTTGATAATAAATCACAGTAAATAATGTATTTGAATGCTTAACAGAATAAGAGAATTATGCAAGAATATTTATTGTATAATACAAAAAGTACTTTGAAATTCATAGATTTAATGATCAGGTAGACTTGGAAATAATAAATGAATAAAATTGAGACAAAAATAACATCTTTTTTAATTGTTCTTCAACAGTTCAAAGGCCAAGAGAGGCCAATGTGAGAAGTTATAAATATATGGGTTAAAAATAGACAGTTTGTTAATAGTTTGGTAATAGTGATAAATGGGGGACCGATAGATACTAAACCAATTATTTTGTTGATGCATATCATACTATTTTTCTTGCTTTTGGGAATCAAAGCTTCATTTATCAGTTTGTGGATCCTCTAAATTGTTGTATTGTACTCAGGTGACCATTTAGGCCCTTGGGCTTCTTGTTTTTTTTTTAGAAAACATTGTTTTATGTTGTAGATGAAATGCTTGTATTCTCTGTTTTGTAGATAATATCACAAGACGAGGCGGACAGAAGAGGAAAAGTATACGACAAATACATGTGCAGCTTTCTCTTTAATCTCAACAATGGTAAGAGAATATAAATCTGCAAATCTGATAGAAATTGTGTGTAAATTTGTATGCAATCACTTTTATTCTCCCATATTACATCCTATTTATTCAGCGAGTCTTTTATATGTAGTATTCATGTTTTAAACTCAGATTTTGTTGTGGATGCCACAAGAAAGGGTAACAAAATTCGCTTTGCCAATCATTCTGTGAACCCTAACTGTTATGCTAAAGTAATGATGGTGAATGGGGACCACAGGATTGGGATATTTGCCAAGCGACCTATACAGGCAGGGGAGGAGCTCTTCTTCGATTATCGGTAAGTACTGTACAGAATTTTTATGGGAAACAAAGTGTAGGAGAGATCAAATCTTGATGCATAATGGTTCTCTTTATTTTTACTTTTCCTTTTTCTGAAGTTGTGTTAGAAAGATTTTTATATAAGTTCCCTTCTTTTGATATGCTATGATATACTGTAAACCAGTTTATTTCGTATTTAAAAAAAAAATACGACTGTTGGGCTGTGTTTCACTCATGAATGTCAATCATTCTGAGGCCAAGTACAATTTGAATTGTTAGTCAAGAAGAAAGTTATTTAGGTATCAGCATGAGTCTCAACAGAAAGGAAGAAAAAAAAATTGTTAAATTAATGAGTGATAAACTTTCCAGTACTATTTTAATTCATGTAGAAATTATATTTCATTTCAGTTATGGACCAACTGAACAACTGAGATTTGTGGGAATTGAACGTGACACAGAAATGCTGTGATATGAAATAGAAGAAACAAGTAAAACTGAGACAAATGTAACTGGTGCTCAATAAGAACAAATTAACTTGGTTTTCTTGTTAATGTGCAATATTATGACTTTACTAAACTTCTTGAAGTGAAAGGTCAAGAATGGAAAAAGACAAACAAAGGGCTTGTATTTGTGTTTTAGTAGGGATCATGACAGGTTAAAAATGTAAACTGTTTTGTCGGTGAACATTGATTTTATAAACATTGTAAATATTAAAAATAAAATTTTCTTTAGACAAAAATATATGCTTACATTTTTTTTATTACATAACAATTTATGAAAGGCAATGAAATATGTACAGGAATACAAATGGCAAATAGTTTGCTGTACTGAATTGATATTGAAACATAAGAATATAAACTTAACCATTTGAACCCCACAACAAGCAGAACTATGCTTCTGAAGACTGTTTATCACATTACTTATGACGAATGGAGAGTAAGTCCATCACTTCTTTCAGTAAAATTGTAAACATCCATTATGAAATAAATGATTGATGTAATCATTAATTGAAGAAACCTGTTGGAATTCAAGAAGCCTGTTGGAATCCCATGTGCCTCATCTGCTCTGGTGTAAGAACTTCTGCTGCATGCTCAGCCTGCCATGCTGCAACCTTCTCCTTCCCTAATTCAGCATGTAGCTTAGCAAGCTTCTGTTCTGATTTATTTACTTCTAAGTTCATCCTATATAAAAATAATACAATTTCTCACTTTTATGGTTTAAATTTGCTATGGAAGAAAAACCATGACATCCCTTGGATGACAGAACATACTAGACATGGAGAAATGTGTTGTGAAGTCATTGATATCATCAAATTTAACTTTCTGAAAGAGTACTCCAAAACTCAATATGAGGAAGAATTTTTAATCTGCAAGATGTTCAGATTCTTGCAGAAGAATGTGGTCTTTTGTCATGACTATTATTACAAGTGAATGTAGAAATATGATGTCACTGAGCATTCATTAGAGGTTTGGTAATTGTAAGTTCTTGTGGACAGGACAACCCCCCCCCCCCCCCCCCCCCAAAAAAAAAATTCAACCCCAGAGCTTGGACTTTTTTTTTCACAAATTATCTTAATTAGGGCCCCTCTGCGGGCACCCTGTAGTGATCAGTCTGCCCATCCTTCCTTCCGTCTGTCTGTCCGTCCGTCTGTCCATCCCAGATCTCCTGTCTGGAGCATATCTTCTCTCTCCTTGGCTCAATCTGGTTCATACTTCACCCACAGAGTGCCTTTTGGTAAAGGGTGTGCAGTGACCTTGAACCATGTTTCTAGGTCTAAGGTTAAGGTCATAGCAAAATTATATGAAAAATCCTTGTTTGGATCATACCTTCTCTCCCTTTGGTCCAATGTGGCTCATTCTTCACTCACAGAGTGCCACTGGTCAATGGATGTGCAGTGACCTTGAACGAAATTTCTAGGTCAAGGGTCAAGGTCAAAAATAGGCTACCTTACATTTTCATGTTCATTGCTGAAAGCGGGACCCTTTGAGATGGCCACCATCTCAATATCTAGTTACACTTATTTATCATGTATACCATAAATTCCAAAATAATTATTCCACGCAAAAAATACCCCACTATACATTATAAAGAGAGAATGGAATTGTCCACACTTCACTAAACTTTATGCCTACATATATAAACATAATAAAATCTTAAATTGCATCATAGCGCACCGTGCAGGTTGATGCCAGGTTTATTTTTCAATATTAAACATACAAACAAAGCAGCATTGAAACGTCATTGCATTGCAAAGTGTACTTTAAAAAAATAATTGCAATAAAAGCATTCAAAAAAACTTAAGCCTCCTCTTCCATCCAGAAAAAAAACCATAGATGAAAAAGAATTTTTTTTTTAATTTTGAAAAATGCTATGGAAACCTGTGTACATGGTGTACCACATCAAAAATGCAGAGTAAGCAAAAATACTGTAATCTCAATGGCTTTAGCCTACATAACAACTGAACCTCAGTAACACGACACTAGAGTAATACTATTTACATGTTGTAAGGATAATTATTTTTCCCTATACTATGTAATGTAAAAAATTTTATTCACCACACTGACTGTCGTTGTGTTCAAGAATTAATTGTGGGATTCTTTTGAAATTCAGAATCAATCCGAAAGCATGATCGAAGATTCGTGGCATGGCGCCAAATGTGATGAGAGAAGAGAAAAATGTGATGGACCAGACCGGAATTCCAATCCCGGTCTGGTCCGTCACGCCCTTTCCGTTGCATTTTTTCCTCTCCCATTACATTTGGTACTGTGCCATGCCCTGGAAGTGACAGGTGACAAGTGAAAGACCTGCCAGGGAAGAGTTGGTGTCTTCAGGGGCTGAAGACCTTTAACTCTATTCCCCTTTGACCTTTCCATCCTTTACCCCTTAATGACGACTTTTGACGCCTAGTCTCAAACCCTTAATGACGACTTTTGACGCACGTGTATTTCATTGTTGATTTGACTTGAAATTACCGCTTGTTTACAAATTATCAGAGCACAGGTGGCCACCTGCAGGTTAACAATAGATGATTGCATCATACTACAGTTAGAAATCACGTGATTTACCTGTGTAAACAAACAAAAGAATCTTGGAAAGTCCCACCAAAATTCAAAATGGCAGACTGTTACATACGATGTTTTTAGAGCATATAACTCAGTCAATACGCAATATTTTCTCATCCAGTAAAGCATTACATGAAATTCAAGCTATAAGCTACCTATTTCTTGAAAGTTTTGAAAATTATAATGATCTATGTGTGTAATAAACATTAAAATAAGATACGAAAATGTTGTGAATTTCGGGACCGCACAGTGCCGATTTCGTTACCTGTTTCTAAGAATTTCAGAAGATACCTTCCATTTTACACATATTTATCAATGTGAAGGTGTAGAAAACAAATATTTTAATAGAATTTGATCATTCAAGTAAACAAAAACGTTCAGAAATCAAGTGTGTGTACTCCTGACTATCTCCTTTGTTTATTCAATGTATACAGATTAGCCCCATTTTTTTATTTAATGCAAGAAGACGTGTGAATTCAGGGTGTGAAAACTCCGTGAAACTTACGAAACAATGAGTTGAATTTTCGTATTTATATGGATTATTTTTCAGGTTAAAAGACATATACCATCTCAAAAAGGTTTGTTATGATTAATTTGGTAGTTATTTTTAGTGCAACTCCTTTTGTATTCTTCAAAATCATTTCGGAGTGGATCCACTCCGATTTGCTACATTGCAAGTATATGGGACGTATTCTAACTGTGGTGAGGGCTTGTCCCGAGACACAGTTAGATTATTCTAACTATAATCACCTGACCTTTTGCTTTCTGACATGGCTCGTGCAAAAAAGTCCATTGTCCTTTTATCATCAATTTCCTCAGTAGCATCCATCTTTCCTTCTTTCTGGAACAAATTGTTGCAAATTATTATCTTGTTCAGAGACGTGAGATGTGAATTGCTATAATTGAATGCTATTTTTTCAATTAAATACAGCTAGACCTCTATTATCACTAACTTTTTGTTTATTATAATGTTCGGTGACAAAATCTTCTAAGCTTTTTTCAGGATTGTCGCTTTCTTCCATTTCTTGTTCTTTTGGTTCGTCCGCCATTTGTAAACAATAATTTTAGTGAAGTAAAGCTAGCTGACTTAATTTTTTCGAATTTTTCATTTTCTGACTTTTAAATGTAGTTAAAAATCTAAAGTCATCTTAAATTAAGTGTATAATTTTTAGATCAAATTTTGAATGTTAAATGATGCTTGACAATCAACTTTTTACAATATTTGTGGTATTTTTGCGTTGTCATGGCATTGTGTACATCTTCATTCGGAGTACTGCATTGTGGACTATGAAAGAGAAGAAGAGTCTAGAGGAGTTCCGACAAAGCAGGTACCCGTTGTAAACAACACTTGGTAACGGCAGGAATTAACTTATTAATCGGTTTATTGAATAGTAATCCAGATTATCACAGATTAATTAATTATGCCGCGAAGAGGGGGAAGTGACAATGGTTCTGAAAACCAGGAAATGGTTGGGACATTCGAAACACTTCGTGATGAAGGAGAACACTTTGTTCACGTCAAGCTCTGGCAAAAAGCAATCGACAGCTTCACTAGGGTATAAAGTTCTTGTATTCAAATTGTTTTCTTTTATATCTGCTTACTGGTCGTTTTTATTTAAAAGCTTTAACTTATTTAAGTGGATTATAATATTAGTGAAAGTTATTAAAATATTTTTGTTTCTCCTAATCCATCACCTGATCATGCGCTTTGGCAAATATACTTCATTTGTGATCATGCAACAGGGATGATGAAATGACTCTGTTAGGAATTGACCCACATTTTTGGTACAATAGCCCTGTATGCTACTTATGAACTTACTAAGCAGTTTTCATACATGTATGTTGTCATACATATGCTTTAATGTGACTACATGGTCTGAAAATTAGGTATAATAATCACATTCACTGGCAAACAGAATGTAGAAAAACTTTGCTGTACCTTATATGAATGAATCTAGACTTTGTTCTTGCTTTGAGAAATTATTGAATAATTTTTTTATTATTTTTTCAAAGGCCATTGAGATGAACCCAGAGGACAAGAAATGTTTTGTCACACGATCAAAATGTTGGTTACAACTAGGCAATGCAGAAAACGCTCTCATGGATGCTGAGGAAGCACTACGACAAGATAAAGAATATATTCCAGTAAGCTGATTACAATGAAATGTATTATCTAAAAAGTACTATGATGGGCTTTCTGCTACATGATAAGTGCAACAATTCAGCTTTTTGATAGCTTTTGTTGAACTTATTTGCAGGGCCTGTATCAAAAAGCTGAGGCTATGTATCAGTTAGGGGATTTTGAAACAGCATTAGTGTTCTTCCATAGAGGTCACAAGTTACGACCAGAACTTCAAGAATTTAGGCTTGGAATCCAGAAAGCACAGGAAGCCATCAACAACAGCATTGGGCGTAAGAATGTGTATTACTAGCTAGAGTGTCCAGTGTTTTATATCAACTTTAATAATAAAGTACACGTAACTTGTGAATTTCATGTTTATGAGATTAAAGCCTAGAGTATTTCAACTTATCATTTAACATTATTGTTAAAAGTTACTAGCTTTGAATTCTTTCCCCTCCTTTCCTATGGGACCCCCCCCAAAAAAAAATGTATGCAACAAAGTAAAATATTATATATATATATATATATATATATATATATATATATATATATATATATATATATATATATATATATATATATATATATATATATATATATATATATATATATATATATATATATTAAGATTATAAGATAGACTATTTCAAACTATTAATTTTATAACAAACATGATCATGTAATTTTTTGATAGAGCCTGATTCAGTCAAACTGACAGCAGAGGGTGACTTGACTTATTTTTACAAACAGGAGGAGGTAAATTTCTAGTTTATTTTCATCTGACTTTGTTTTTATTGTTGTTTCTTGTGAGCATGATTATATTGTGCTAGAAATTTTCTGAGAATTGTGCATAATCAGATTTATATTCTCAGCTAATGAAGAGACAAATAAAATAATGTTTAAAAATTGAGCAAAATGCATTTGTTAATTTCAGGATATTTAGACTTGTATGCAAAATTTTGCTGATGAGATATCTGTACCAACTCACTTATTTCATAGTTGAACATTTTGTATATATATTTAAATATTTTTCTTGTTTGAAATTGAATTTTCAACAGTTATTTCCAGTGGTAAATTGTTTTTTTTAATGGGACAGGGTTGTGTTTTTTCAATGCAGACTTATAACTATTAGTATTAAAATATAAGATTTTATCTGAATGTTCAAAATTAAATGGATGAAAAAAGTCAGTGCATTGGAAATACATATATTCAAACATAACTGAATGTTTTGCAGTGTGATACAAAATAAATCGAATGAAAATCTATATATATATATATATATATATATATATATATATGAAAATGTAAATACTACAAAATACTGACAGACATGTGGAAATGGCATGGAAAAGAAAATAGCATGCTAATTAGCTTTAATTCCTTCAGAATGTATAAAATTTACATTTCTAGTGCAATGCATCATAGTCATACATGTAGTCATTCATCCGAAAAACAAGTATTTACCCGTTTATCCATAAACTCACTCTCATTGACATTTTGCATAGGTCAGAAATGTGTAATCAATAAGAGATTTGCAGTGTTCCACTAATGTATCTCTATATACACAGACAAACACACTAAAGAATCTGTACAAGCTTGAGCATGTTTGATCTGCTGTTGTTTGCTTATTGTATGATCTCTATAAGCATGTTGTATTGTATAGGATGAAAAGGCCAAGGTAATCAAAGAGTGTGTTGTAGAATTTCCTGTCAGTTTATATCTTGCTTTCTCATTCTCTGCAAGCCTATATTTTAGAAAATATATTGTAGATGTAGACTATATTTTGTTATCTTAAATACTGATATATTATTGATATGTTCATAGGAAAATTGTAGAGAAACATGTCATATGTACAACTACAATGGCATTGAATCCATTTAGTTGTCTTCATTTACTTATAAACAATAATATATATTTATACATATGCACAATAGTAAATACTATGTATTTAAGCTAGGGGAGGGGGTATTGAAAAAGCCTCTTTTTTGCAATCTACAGTTGCAGTATTTTTCATTGACATAATTATTACATGTATTTGATATCACCCAATAACTCTTAGAGAGTGAATAATTTTTTAAGCACAGATTTACAAAGTAAGCAATGAGAATTTTACTCTCTTATTGAAGCATGATGATTCTTTGTACTATAGACAACTTTAATGTGGTACATATTTTTTTAAATTCATCACACTTTTCACTTTTAAATTTTATAACATAGAAAGTCATCTTGAATATCACAGCCATAAATTTATGATTCTTTGTTCATTTTCTTTGCTGTGTGTTGTGATTTAAAATTTCTTTCTTCCCTTGTTTTCTCACAGGCCAAGAAGGTACTTGTATCATTTATTTCTCATTCAAGGTTTAGGTGGATTTTGGTTGTGCATTTTTTCTTCTATTCAATCCAGTTATATCCTTGCACCAGACTCAGTCAAAAGAATAGAAACAGTCCTTTTTGGTTCTCCATGGTTTCTCAAAGTTCTCTGTCCTTGGTGGTTTGGGATTACACCAATTTTCCAAAAGCATTTTATTATTATTTTTTTCAATATTTTCAGCCACTGTCATAAAGCACCAATGAAAAGATAAATCAAATTCACCCATTGTTTCTGAATTTCAGTCACATTTATTTTTACATATCTGCACATTTCATTTGGTTGAAATATTAACATAACTGGTAATTTAATGTTCCAACATTGAGATGAATGAATTATTGGTAACTATATATAGATATATAAATCATGATCTGAAATAATGGCTAGGTGAAGGCTTTTAGAAATGCTTATATATAGTAATGTATAAACTTTGTTTGTTAATCTTAGGTGCTTCACAGCATTTTCTTTTTTCACATATGCATCCGAGTATATACGTATGTACCCTGTATATCTATAAGTTTCCATGACAGATTTTTTGTTCCTAGCTTAATCATAGTTGTATGATATTTCAGGCCAAATCAAAGAAAACTGGTGGTACCTATGGAAAGCCTGGGGCCAAAAAAGAGGCAGCCAAAGAGAGACAAAAGCCCCAGGGTGGTGGGGACCAGAAAACCATCAAACAGTTGCTGGGAGAACTGTACGGAGACAAGGACTTCCTGGAAAAACTACTCAATGAGGACAGTATGTATCAGAGGAAGTAACGATCAGTTTAAATTTTAAGGATGATAGAAAATACCATTGAAGATAAATATGTTTAAATTATGTGTCATTTTCTCCTCCATATTTTTCATGCATTTATTTCATGCTATTTCTTGCATGAGTATATAGCTAGTGTACTTTACAGGCCTTATACTGAGTAAAATAGTCTCTCTTTTTTTTTTTCTTACATAAGTTGTTTTTAATTTGCAAGGTTTAACAAATGACAGCAATCCCACAAACAAAGGCATAAGGGAAAAGATATATGATGGATTGGACTATTTAAATGCCAGAGCTGACTTCTGGCGGCAACAGAAACCAATGTATGCTCGTAATCGTGACAAGGATAAGCAGAGAAAGAGTGCCAAGGCACGAAACCAAGACCCCACCAGCTATCTTCTCAGGTGTCTGGAGGATATTGATGATGGTGGGTTGCATTAAGTTGCATTCCCAAAAACTGTAATAGAATTTACCTGTCTTTGAAAAACATACGGCATATTTTCAGAAAAGATTCATTGAAAAAAGTTGCCTAGTGACAGACAATACTGTTTTATTAATTTTTTTAAAAATATGGAATTAAATGCCTTGGTAATAGAAAAAGCACGGGTATTTTTAAGTGTCAATTGCTTTTTAATCAAAGACACTGCTATATACATTATACTCTGATACTATCAATTTACTCGAATATTTCTGTTAGATCAATCAAAGGAAAGATATGAGGAAAGTTTACAGAAAGCCAAGAAAACTCTGAAGACAGTGGAAAACATGAGTGAAGATCAACTGCAGAACAAGGCAGAAATCTTAGCAAATATCCACAGTCAGATTGGAAATGCTTACCTGGAGCTAGGAAAATACAATGAATCTCTTAAACATCACGAAGAAGATCTCAGACTCGCCAAAGAAAAGTAAGAGAATCTACATATATTGTCAAACCACGGATGTTAAATTGATTTTTGATTTCTTGTTAAACAGGAATTTTAATTTCTTTATTTCTTAATGTATTCATATTATCATGTATGATATTAACTCTATGATTCTTGTTTGCAGTGATTTGGAGGATGCCTCTTCTAGAGCTTTGGATAACTTAGGAAGAGTATATGCTCGTAAAGGAAATTATGAGAAAGCCATAGAAGTGTAAGTTATCTCAATTAAACATTCTCTCCTTTGTCCATAGCAGGAATTTTACCCATTTTTGAGAAGCACTGTTTTAACTTTTATGCAGAAAATTGAACTTTTTGTGAAGTAAGTTATGTGTGGGGAATTGCTTTTGTAATCACTTATATCTTGGTGAATGGCTGAATAATTTCATTTACATGTAGATGTTATGAAGTTTATCATTTCCACACTTTGCTTTCATTGTAGTATTCTTGAAATGTGGGTAAAATAGTGTGATTAAGACAGTTACATTGTAATATAACAGGGTGTACAAAAAACCAGAAAGAAATTGACCTAAAATCAGTATTTCAGTATAAATATATTTATAGCATTTGTCAATATTTTTTAGAGAAGTACTGACCTATTTACATCAGAGTACTTATATCATAAAACTTCAAGAAAATCTTGATTAATTGGCTAAATTATTATATTCAGGGATGACTGATTTCCAAATTCACTTCAACAAAAGTTTAGTGGAAAGGGTTTTTGTACACTCTTGTCAAAGCATGTGCAATAATTAAATATATTTCATTGATTATAATGAATGATCTGTAATGTCATATGTATATATATTCATACCAACTGATCAACTGATAAACATGTATTTATGGTATACCTATACAAAACAACATAATCTGAAACAGATTTACTGTAACTATATTAATATATTAATCAACTGCAATACTTATTTGTAGGAAAAACATAGCATGGAAACTAATTGCCTAATTTACTTTAAAAAAACGATATTGCCAATTATCTACATTATCATACAATGCCTTTTACTTTATGACTTACCGGTTAACTCTAAACTTTGATTTGTAGATGGCAGGAAAAATTACCTATGAGTAAATCTCCACTGGAGAGCACCTGGTTGTACCATGAAATTGGTCGGTGTTACTTAGAATTACAAAAATGTCAGGACTCCCGAGATTTTGGAGAGAAAGCGATACAGGCAGCAAAAGAAGCAGAGGATGATGGGTGGCAGCTTCATGCTAGTGTCTTAGTAGCTCAGTCAGAGGGTTTGTACTCATATACAAAGTTACATGTTTGTCAGTTAATGAATGATGTCTTCACTTTTGAAAATGTCTCATGATAAAGGGTGTGTATTCATTTAAGGATTGACTTTGGTATAAGAAAGTTCATGTTTCTGAAGTCGTGAACCTAATTCAACATTTCAAAATTTGAATTAAATTTTTATTATGGTGTTACAATGTACATTCATAGTAAGCTCCTTTTCACAGAAATTTCTTTAGAAATTGTAATTCATTTTATTCTATAGGTTTATTGAATAACCTTAAATTGGAAAAAAGATTTTCACTACATTTATATGTATCCATCGTCGGAAACCCATGGCCAATCTCGCATACGCTTATTGATAAGCGTATGTGAGATTGGCCATGGGTTTCCGACGATGTTATGTATAATGTATCACAAAGAATTAATAATTGACTAAGACTTTGAATTCCTTTCTTACAGTTAAATTAGGAGATTTACAATCAGCAGCAGAATCATTTGAAAGATCATTAGAACTGGCTAAAAAACTTAACGATGGCCCAGCAGAGGCAGCCATTAAAAAAGCCATGGAGGAGGTTAATAACAGGATAGTGCAGGGAGTGAAGGAGGGAGATGAGAAGGATGAGGACGATAAAGGGTCCACAAAATCAGGCGGGGACAGGAAAGGGGCCACCAGTCAAGCCTCAGGTAATTATAACAGCTAGTGATTTTCAAACGTTTGAATTAAAAGAAAATTCAGTTTAATTTCACCAATTCATTTTTCACTCATTCAAACCAAAATTCTGCAGGCAAACCTGTGAGTTGAATTTGTAATGCAAATGGGAAAAAAAAATTACCATCCAATTGATTTTACTTAAAAATTCCTTGGTTATTTTATTAAATTCCAAATCAAAGGAAAGAAAGTTGTTAATACAAAACTTAGTTATTGCCCCCTTCAAGAAACCTTAACCTATAAAATCAGCCATCACATCTGTTATAAATATTTCTTGTTTTAAAATTACAAAGATAAGGGAAATGAAAGTGATCAAGATGAAAAGAGGAGTAAACATAGTAAAGACGATGAAGACAAAGGTATTATACAGGGAGCAGTTCTGTAGCCACCTCTGTGTTGTTTTGCATCTTATATATCTGGCCATATCTATATATTTATACTTCTCTGTCAATATTTTGTGTCAAAAGTACTCTTTCCTATCAAAGAAGCATTTTTTTTGGACATTGAATTTCAGTTTGCACCAGTTATTTTGCACTGATATGCTTTAAAGTCAACTTTGAATTTCGTAGAAGTTTTACAATGGGGGAAGGCATTATTGTAGCACATTGCTTTGGCATAAGATTTACAATGGAGTAGGGTCTGTCTTCATATGCTTTTTTGTGATTATTCTGTTTGTTTAAGTTCAAACTATATTCAGTTAGTTTTGAAATTATAAATGGGTGTTCATTAAAATGTGTGTTTATGATTCCCAGTAATTTTTAGTACCAGGATACATGCACTGTGAATAATGGTTTTACCATGAAAATGTGCAATTTGTTTATCTCACATAAATTTACACTAAGAACATGTACAAGTATTTATTTACCGGTACTAAGCTCATTTATTTGACTTAGTATAAATTATTTAATAGAGAATAATATCTTTATTAGATAATCTTAAAATGCTGAGAGTTTTAGTGTGCAATATTTTTTGTACTTTACAAAAACAGAGTTTACATTGCATGAAGTGGTACATCAGGAAAGTATAGATGTCAACATATTTAAACGTATATTGTCATTAGCGTAACAGTATGTGGACACCTCTCATCTCGATAACTGAAATACATCTGTACATGTGTTTTATTTTTTCATGATCAATTTTGATAAATTTTCATATGTATTAACGTTCCATTGAACAATACCATTACAAATGGTCCGTGATTTCTATCATAAATTATGGCAACAAATCATGCTTCAGTTCCATATCTTTGGTAAAAGTGATATAATATGGCCACTTTTAACAACTAAAAATGTTAAAGATACTGGGATGTTATAAGGGAGTTAATGAACTTTGGCACAAGTGTTTGTTCAGTGCACAAACTTAATTAATGGAATAACTAAAATTTGCAACTGATAATTATGCTATTTTGCATGCTAGATAGATACTGCAGAAAATTTAGGTAGAGGTGTATAAATATTTTATGCATGATTTATTTCCCCCTTTTCCAGATTAAAACCTACAAAAAATATACATGATGTGTTTCTACATATGGTCACCATTAGTTAAATTAATGTATTCACAATTTTTAGAATATACCTTATTGGACCAAAAATAATTTCATTGTGTGAAGGAAACATTCCTTGCAATTTCAGTCAATGAGCTTTACTGATTATTAAATTAAGGGAATTTGAATATGTTCCTTTTACAGTTATGAATGAACCATAAAATCTGGACACCTATAGAAATTAACCATCATATGTGGTGTATGTGTAAAGGGAAATTATTGTACACAATGTAAGATAAACTGTTTTGTAACATTTGTTGCCCATGTTCTTATTAAGACAACCGGGACGAGGATTACCCTGATGACTTTGAACAGGACCAGCAAGGTGATTCATCATGTTGTATCTCTGTTGTCTTTCTCTTTTCTCATAAAAATTTCTTCTATGGTATCCTAGATACTTTAATAAGACTAATCCTTCCAATCAGTAAATCACAGGTAGCTGATAACAGGGAATAAAATCTAGATTCACAGTGAATGTTCTGTACCACTTTTATTTTGATAAAATCTATCTTAAACTTTTTCTCCTGGATATCAGACAGTGACAGTAAACCTGGGTCAAGGTCAAATTCAAGGTTATCTAAAAAGCAGAGCACTGAATCAAAGCCAGAGGAGAGCCCTGTCACAGAGGACAAGCAAGACAAGCCCACAAAAACACCAAGCCCTGAACAGCCACAGCCTGTTTCCAAAACAAAGTTTACCACAAGTAAACAAAAAGAGAGTAAGAAAGGATCTGATAGCAGAAAAGTTAGCAAGGAGTCTCAGAAGTCCACAAAAAGTGGTCAGACTAACAGAGGTGAACCACAGAAGAAGACTTCAAAATCTTCCCTCAAAGGAAAATCAAGCCCTCTAGCAAAAAGGAAATCCACCCAAGAAAAGAGGGCATCAGTAGACAAGAAGGAAGGAGCAGAAGACAACTCAAAGAGAGGGGAAACAGATGATGACAATGATGAGATAAGGAAAGTTTCAGAAGCCAACTCGAAGGCTGACTTGTTTGAAGGTGATGACAAAAAAGATGATACTGAAAACAAACCAACAGAAAAGATAGAAAAGAAGCCTTCTAAAGAGGAACAAAGAAAGAAAAAATCCTCTGTCAGTCCTTATGTTCAAAGTACAAAAAAGACATCAAATAGCAGCACCAAAAGTAAAAAGAACTCTTCATCCAGCAGTGAAAAAAAGGAAAAGACCAAACAAGAGGAGGAGAGAAAAGAGGATGAGCCTGAGGAGGAATCAAAGGTAGATAGCAAAGAGGAAAAGGAGGAGGAGTCATCAGAAAAGGAAACTAAAGAGGAAAAGGAAACTAAAGAGGAAAAGGAGACAGAGGAAACACCAGAACAAGGAAAATCAGATGATAATGTAGAGGAAGAGTCAAAGGACAAGAGTCCTCCCCAGGAGGACATTGAAGGAAAGGAAAGTAACTCTGATCATAATGTAACAACTAATTCTGGTGAGTCCCTGCACCACAGGCATGGGATGTTGTGATACAAGAAGCATGACATTAGGAAGTAGTTCTATCTCTGTTGTCTTCATTCTTAAGCATATTGTAGACAAGAGGCACTGCATGTTTGTACGGTGAAGACATGCCAATATCTGTTCATACTTGCAGTTTGATTTTGCATGAACAAGTTCATTTTTGTTGTATGTGCTCATATCTGAATGTGGTACATGTACTTGTGGGGTTTTTTTGCCTTAATTTTTTTCTTCAATGTTGTGATAAAAGGTACATAGTGCTAAATCATGAAAGACAAAATTCTTTTGTAGAGTGAAAGATATATTACTTTACACAGAAAATGAATTCCTTTTCAAATTCCTCCTTAGCTATAGATTTCAAGCTACCGACAGCTGCCAGGTCTAGCCCCAGACCCACCCCTAGTCCTCGCCCACGTTCAGTAAGCATCAGAGACCCTCCCGAGTCTGAAGCAGGCTCAAAGGGAGGTAATGATGAAGCTGGATCAAGAGGAAATGTATCACATGCCAAGAAAACTCCCTCCCCAGTGAGCAGAAAAGGAATCCAAAAAGTAAATGGGAATGGTACAACACAGAGTCCAGCCGGAAGTGTAAAGAGTGGTCAAGAAACGGGGAATCTTAAAGGTTGATAGAAATGTGTGGTCTAACGAGTGATTGGTTCATCTAATGGAAAATTGTGATTGTCGCAACAGCTATGAATGTTTGGGTTGATTAATTTGATGTGCAGCTTTCTTAAAATAACACAATGCTTGTGAAGTAAGGAGAGGAAAAGAAAATGCATGCATGACCCCTTGTCTTTTCTAACCTTTGTAGTCTTTGTCTACATCTTAATAAACTGTAGTCTGTGTTCAGTATAATGTTTATTTTATCCAGAATGATGCTCTGTATCACTTTTATTTTTATCTTAAAGCTTATACTGTTTTAATTTGTAATAATGTACATAAGTAAATGTATGTTTTATTTGCATAACCTTTATAACAGCAACTTACATGATGTCTTATATATTTATCAACTAACATTTCCCTACAAATTTACATGTAGAAACAAACGTACAAATGATCAGCGAGGAAGATTCCGCAGTACCACTAGAAACATCCGAAAACGATTCTAAAGTAGAGGTTGAACCGTACGATACAGAAGCCTCGGAGAAAGGTCAAATAGCACCTCCCCCTCCCTCTTTCTTCTCCTCCCTGATCTCATGCATGTGTCTCATGAACCCTTTAAGTTGTTTATCCCATACTTCATGTTTCAATAAAATTATACCGGAATCCCTCTTAAGCATGTGCTAAAGAATAAGCTTTACCACCACGTTTTATTTTATGAGCGCCATGTCTTGCTTGTACAGTTGTATAAATGTTATTTCCTATACCAGCAGGGATGTTACAAAAAGCTAAAAAAAAAAAAAAATGATGTGTTTATTTTCTATTCCCTCTATCAATTTCAAATATAACCAGAAAGAAACATTTTTAAAATATGAATATAACATACACGGAGTTTCCTCTTGTTCTACACCATCCTCTGAAACATATTCTTGTATAAAGGTTCCCTAAACTCTTATGTTTCCAGACTTTCAGGATATGGAACACAGGAAGCATGTACATGTATAGTGTATACCAAAGCATGTTACTTACTGTATAATATAATAACCCACACAGACTTGCATGACTTTTCTCTTCTTTTATTGTTTACGTTCGTAACACAATGTTAAAGTATTATTCTCTATGTATTATGTTTATGAAAAATTATGTGAGATGATTTAAGAGCTCATTTTAAACGGTTGTAATTTTTATATTTTTTTCACGGTAGCGTGACTGTTCTAATTTTCTTTTTTCAGGATTAGGATATTCCCACCCATTTGAAATCAAGAGTTAGCTTTATTCGTTATTTATATATGCATGTATATAACTGCATGTCGGGAAATAAACATATCCGCATAATTTCACATAATTCATTTTCATAATAAATCCTAATAAACAATTATATTACATGTATATCATATTATATGATGAATACTACTCCCTAAAAAAATTTTAAATTACAAAATCTTGCAAAATTAAACAATGACTGCTTACATAAACCAATATGCAATATATACAACTCATTTCTGTGAAATGTATACAGATTTTGCTTACAGTTTACGGGTATTCTATGCTTATTGACTGCCCTATACTTCTTTTTCAGCACTAATTTGTAACAAATTATATTAAATAATTTACATAACAGTTTTTCTGGTTGGATAAATATATTTAAAAATATTCAACTACAATTTCATTCTATATGCAGTTGACTTCAAATTTTATTATTTTTTAGCCAGCATTTGAATGTTATATTGGTACTATAACAAATGTGTATGTAATTCCAGATAAAGGCAAAGAAGAGGAGGCGCAGAAATCATGAGACAAGAGAAGACTTAGTGAGAATAAAACAATGAATGAACTATCCAAAATATCAGACATTTATTACAAATGTACTAAACAGATGGTTATAAGATTACGCAATTCTGATCACAGGTCAAAAAATTAATGATTATAAAGTTTTCCAACCAAAAGATTTTAAATACAATATGTATTGCTTAAGTAGATATTAATGCTATATATTGGACGCATTTTGAAGGTGCATTTTCTACATAGATTTTTGTTAATTTTTTCTGTGTACTTAGTATATATACATTTGATATATGTTTTAAAACCTGTTTACATGTACATGTATTCAAAATATTGCATGTGCACAGTCTACGCAATTTGTTAATAAATTTATAAGTATTTCATCCTTGTTCTCTGTCACACTTTGGCACAGTTTGATATCTCAGTAAAATTGGGGGACTCTCTGCTTCAAGGGACATATTTCTGTTGGAATCCTCTCATACAGAGTTTGACTACCATCTGTAATATACAAGAAATGCATAGAATAGACAAAATTTCAACCATTATGCTTGACATTAAATGAAGCCTAGAAAATGACTTTTTGAGACAGTAAAAAGGTGAAGCTGTCAAGTGAATCTTAATTATGAAAAATAACTGAAATAGTCATGGATATTTTTGTGAAACTTCTGAACACAACATATAGACCGATATCTTACACCACTGGGATCCGTAGTAAACAGGACATATCCCCATCCGTGCTTTGTATTCAGCAAATACAACATTGCCCTGAAAATGATAGATTTTTGATAAAAGGGTTGCAAGGAATGACTGTTCTTAAAAAATGTATAATATATATTTTTAGTGTACTAGTACCTTTCTGTCATTCTTTGCCAAAATCCTCTCTACCCTTGAAAGGTATTGCAATTATAAATGACAGAATTTTATAGATTTTTATAGATTTAGATAAATGATTTGAACCTACCTTTGTAACTGGTATCTTAATTTTGGACATGGGAAACACGAGCTCTCCCCCAACTGTAGAATCTGTAAGCTACGGGAACAACATGGAAGATTGAAACTCAGAGACTGTTGGTCATTTGTGTAGGTATATTTGTATTTAAAAACAAGCTGTGTTTGTGAAACACTGATGCCCCTCAGCCCCTGCCCTGTATGACAGCTTAAAGCAAAGGTTAAAGCTTCTCAAATTAAGTCAAGCTCCAGATCAAAAGATCAAAAATGTTGGTACCAAAAGAAAGGTCACTTCTTGAGGAATATACCTGTGAAAAATGAAAGCTATGGCACCAACCATTGAAAAGTTATGGCAAAGGTTAAAGTTTTTAGCTCACCTGAGCTGAAAGCTCAAGTGAGCTATTCTGATCACCCGTTGTCCGTCGTCCGTCTGTCTGTCTGTCCCTCCCTCTGTAAACTTTTCACATTTTCAACTTCTCAAGAACCACTGGGCCAATTTTAACCAAACCTGGTACAAAACATCCTTGGGTGAAGGGGAGTTTAAATTGTTAAAATGAAGGGCCAAGCACCCTTCAAAGGGGAGATAATCAAGAAAAGACAAAAATTGGGTGGGGTCATTAAAAAATCTTCTTCTCAAGAACCACTGGGCCAGAAAAGCTGAAACTTATGTGGAAGCATTCTGGGGTAGTGTAGATTCTAAATTGTTCAAATCATGACCCCCGGGGGTAGGGCGGGGCCACAATAGGGAATCCAAGTTTTACATTGAAATATGTAGTAAAAATCTTTTAAAATCTTCTTCTCTAGAACCACTGGGCCAGAAAAGCTGAAACTTACGTGGAAGCATCCTGGGGTAGTGTAGATTCTAAATTGTTCAAATCATGACCCCCTGGGGTAGGGCGGGGCCACAATAGGGAATCCAAGTTTTACATTGAAATATGTAGAAAATATCTTCAAAAATCTTCTTCTCAAGAACCACTGGGTCAGAAAAGCTGAAACTTATGTGGAAGCATCCTGGGGTAGTGTAGATTCTAAATTGTTCAAATCATGACCCCTGGGGGTAGGGCGGGGCCACAATAGGGAATCCAATTTTTTACATTGAAATATGTAGTAAAAATCTTTAAAAATCTTCTTCTCAAAGACCACTGGGCCAGAAAAGCTGAAACTTATGCAGAATCATCCTGGGGTAGTGTAGATTCTAAATTGTTCATATCATGACCACGGGGGGTAGGGCGGGGCCACAAAAGGTATAACAACGTAGGAAATCAGGTGAAAAACAGCAGGGCCAAAGTTACTCAGGTGAGCGTTGTGGCCCATGGGCCTCTTGTTCAAAAGTAAGTAGAACATCAAGGTCAAGGGCAAATGGTACCCAAGGGAAGGTCTTGTCACAAGTGATACACATGTTCCTGAAATATGAAAGCCCTAGAACCAAACATTCAAATATTATGGCCAATGTAATAGTTAAAGTTTTTTTTTTAAATAGGTTAACTCCAATGTCAATGGGCCAAAATTTTTGGTATCCAAAGAAAGGTCTTGTCGCAAGAAATACACATGTGAAGTATGAAAGCCCTAGCACCAATTGTTCAAAAGTAATGAACAAGAGTCAAGTTTTTCAAAAGTAGGTCAAACTCCAAGGTCAAGGTCAAAGGGTCATAATTGTTGGTATCCAAAGGAACTCAAGGTCTTGTCACAATTAAGGAATACACATGTAAATTATGAAAGCCCTAGCACGAACTGTTCAAAAGTTATGGCCAAGTTTAAAGTTTTTCAAAAGTAGGTCAAACTCCAAGAACAAGGGTCAAAGTTGTTGGCATCCATAGGAAGGTCTTGTCACAAGAAATACACATGTGAAGTATGAAAGCCCTAGCTCCATCTGTTCAAAAGTTATGGCCAAGGTTAAAGTCTGATAAAATTTAGCAAAAGTGGGTAAAACTACAGGTCAAATTTGAAGGTCTTGTCACAAGGAATACACATGCCATAGCTCTAACCAATCAAAAGTTATGAGTAAGGTTAAAGTTTTTGCGGACAAACAGACAGATGGACAAGGCAAAAGATATATGCCCCCGAATCTTCGAATACGGGGGCATAAAGTAATTTAAAATATTTTAAGATACAAAAATATATATACAGATAAAAAAGAGACTTACAAATGAAATGAAAACTCCCACAACTTGGTCTTTTTGCTGCAAAAAAGAAAATTTGATATTAGTCATGTTTTTTTTTTAAAATTAGTTCATTGCATGGATATCGGTAATACAATTGTATATTTTACATATATTGAGAAAATTCCTTACCACTACTTCGTTATCCATTAATTCCCCTTCCGTTCCAATATTAAACGTCTAGATAAATGTAGAATGAACATTTTTAACATAGGTTATAAATTGCCAAGTTTAAAGAGGAAATAGGCCACCATGATATAAGGTTATTGGAATTAAACAATTCTTCTTACCCTATATGAAAATAAAACAGGGGGAAAGTGACTTAATTTCATTTTTGAGAATTTTGTTTGTAAATTAGGAATCCATTTCCAGTAAGTCGTGTCATAAACTGCTGCACTAGAAAATACAAGACAAGCACATTAAAAAAAAATAAAGTCAAAACACTGAGAATAGTTTCGTAAAAATTGTTAGCCAGTATACAGAAAACATTTCTGCAATGTATCATGGTACATGTATATACATACTTATGTCTGACGTCTGAGTATCTTCTTATTGTTGAGGCATCCATCAGCTGGAAAAACATTGATAACTTCTCTTGAACACGGGGTACATTGTTTTGAAGTAATATATTTATCAAGAAAGAAGCAGTATTTTTGTACTGGTAAAACGACCCTGCTCTCGCACCTTTTTGTAACCCATGTAAGAGATTGCCATGGCGGTTCCATTATCTACCATATCATAAAGAACAACAATTAGGGGATGCCTGTTCACTACTTCCGCTTTGACATCAGATTTCATGTAAGGAACAGGGCTTCTCAAAGGAAAGTACAAGCAATTTAATCTCGATGATTTTGAAATTATCTAAAAGAATACAAAAAAGATCTATGATGCTCTTGAAAATGTAGATAAGTTAAACAAAATGAGACGGGCTTGTATAGCTGGTTTGCACATAATATATAACTGAAGTAATACAAAAGTGTTGTTCATGATTTTGGAATAATACCATTTTTTCTTCTGATCTACAGAGTTCCTCGTATAATCTCCTGCTCTTCTTTGATGGAGTTTTTGGCTTTAACTGAGCGGGATTACTTGAGACTTTGCTAGTCTGTAAGTATTCCAGGTTTCTTTTGGCAGCAGTGTTGCTTGGATCTATGATTAACAGTTTGCAAAACAAAGAAATAAGTTTATTCTTCGTAATCATGCGTACGATATTTACATTATATAGTATTTCCGTCAAGTCCTACAAAACAATTTTATAGCACTAAAAGATCGACACAAGAAACAAGGTCATACCAAGACGAAGCAAGTCTGATAATGTCGTTTGTGCTTCTTTGATAAAACCAGCCTAAATAACAAAACAAAGATTTCATTGGAATATTTTATAATGAAACCTTAAAGAAAGCAATCATCGGAATTTTCACATATAATACCTTGAAATATGCATTGGATAACAAGTGAAATGCCGCTGATGCTGATATTTGATCGTTGATATCAGAGATACGATTTGCTTTTACTTCCTCAACAATGTATTTTAACCACTCAATGGCATAATACATATCGTCCTTCTCATAGGCTGCATTCGCGATGTCGAAGGCGTCAGCCAAGGTAAGTTTTTCTAGAGGCTTAGCTTCTGCTATATCTCCACTCATGATCTGTTCTATTGTGAAGCTTTTATACCGTTGTAGAGCAGAAATAGTACTGGCAATGGTATCGAACACGTCTTTATTAGGGACATTGTCCTCTATGTTTTGTAATTTTACTTTTAATGCTGAAAGACAATGAAAAATTAAGTAATTTTTCTAAAGAATTTTCCATTTAAATGCAAGTGATCAAACAACAGGTAGATATATTATGGAAATATTGACAACTTGAATGCATTAATGGCATACGAGTAATGTAAACTTTATCTATATAGTCTCTGACTTCTCAGAATTGTGCTTAAAAATATCACATTTGGTACCCAAATTCCCGCTTATTTGGCACCATGTAACAGGGTCGGGCTCGATTTTTTTCCCCATTTCCATCTGTCTATATATTCATAGATCTATATTCAAACTTTACCCTTTACACATGTATCACTGTGTAATATATGTTGTAGAATTTCCCGCCAGTTATGGTAAAGTCGTCTGGTTAAATGAAATTGGTTGATCGGGTGACTGATGTACCCTACTACATTCCTGCCGACGTTTTTATGAATGGCTTTAACGTTTTCAAGCACCCTACAAAGAAAATTTCAATATATATGCACGTGTGTGTTCAGATGAAAACTATTTTTTTTCATAAAAATGCTGTACGGACTTGCTGTGCTTTAAAGGTTCCCCAGCTGAAATCATACAAAGCTTTGATCGATACTGACCCGGTTATGTTGGCTAACTGATGTACGTCTTCATCATGACTCCTTAACTCCTGCTTAACAATCAAGTCCGAGAGAGTTAGGAGTTCCTCTTCCATCCGGAAAAACTTCTCAAAATTCATAACCGTAGTAAGATCCTGAGATGCTCCAAACGAGAGAAACAAAACGAAGAAGATAAAAACACGGGCCATCTTTATCCTTTAGGTCTATAAGGAGTTATTCGCCACGTGAACATCTGTTGGCTCCAAGTTCTCTCAAGATGACGAGGGCGACACGTGTTGCGTTTTGTACATGGTCATCGATTTGGAGTGTCACTCTTTTACAAGGTGATGCGCAACGCCAATCGATGGGAGTATCGATGCAATATTTCCTCAATCACACAAAAAAGAATTATTTATATTTGTCTGATTTTGGTCATCAATCCCAATATTTGATTCCATGTTGGTTTATCAAACATCATTTGAATAACCACTGATACAATTCATGTACTTTATCTTAGAGAAGGGAATTCTGGCAAAAAGTAATGCCGTTCTTCCAAATACCCGAACAACAAGGGACTACAAGATATATGAACATTTGTACACATGTTTATTTGATTCAATACAGTTTTCTTTCTCTAACAGTTTTCAATTGTCAATGACTATATGACTTATTTTCATACACAAACCATATAAAATGAAAAAAATCTAAGTTTGATATAGAGGACACATTGTTTTAATCTAACAAATTGCATGAATCGCAGAAAATCGTTGCATTGTACTTCAACGCATTAAATAATAGTACGGATTTCAGCAAATAAAATGAAGTAGCGCACATTGTAGCTTTGTCATCAATTAAGTGTAAATTTACACACACACACACCCTCACACACACACATGTAGATTACATGTACATGCTATTCCACTTCACACATTTGACGTTACATAGTAGATCCAAAAGTAATTTGTCACAACTGCTATATGATCTTTAATAATCGAATGCTATCAACAATCTTTACATACTAATTCGCCTATCTATTTTAATTTTTGCCTCAAAATTTCATCAAGTTATATAAAATACTTTTCAAAATATTAATTAAGATAAACACAACGTTAGGCTTTGTCTATCGCAGCAAGGCAAGAATGTTATCGACGCCATGACGTTACTTTTTGGCACTTATTTTCAATTCATCTGCATGTCTTATGAAATCTCTCACGTGCTTTTTTAAAAATAATGTGGACTGATATTTTGCTATAAAGCGTCTTGTTTTGCGTTGTTGTATTAAAATTATTTGACTTTGTCCAAATATTTTTTCTGAAATCATTCCTTTCTGCGTAGATCTAAGTTCCGGATGAACTGAAAATGAGTGCCAAAGAAAAACCGCGACGTCATAACGAACGTCGGTACATTCTTGCCACGCGGAGATAGACAAGACCCAAAGTTGTGTTTATTTTAATGTTTTAAAAAGTACAGCATATGTCTGAACGAAATTCTGAGAGGTATTAGTATATAAAAGTTTGTTGACAACATTCGATCATTGAAGATTTAATAGCATGCAGTTATTACATTATTTTTGGACCTCGTAATTAGTTATTTAAACCTTCCTCTGAATAGAGTTTTTGAAGCCTTTATATCCTAAAAGCCCTATAGAATGAAGATTGTTTAGAGTACATATTTAGAAAAATATAGATGAGAAAAGTGATAATTTGAATAATAAAATAAAATATTTATTTAAAATATCTGGCAAAATCTGTGATTTTTGATAATTTAGAGCAAAACAAGCGAACCCACACAGCTGAAGGTAATATACTCTACTTGAGCATCTTTGAAAACTGATCGACGTTTCCGCACTCCAGGTATTTTTCTGTAAAAAGAAACTCTTATTTGAAAGTTGAATAGTTTCAAAAGAAATATTTTACTCTCTTTATACCATTAGTTGAACGTTTGTCAAATCTTCGATTTTTGTTGTAATTTATAACCATCTCCAATACTTAAAGATTGAAGGAAATTTATCTTACAAGAAAACAACAGTTTTCGATACTCAGTATCTTTATCAATACTTTGATTGCTAGTCCCTACTTTTTTAGATATTTGACCGAAATTGAAATGGCATAAAATACAGTTCTATTGGGGACAAGCTGGTACCCTTCATCTGGTATGAAAAAAGGTAAAAGAAGTAGTATTTATAAAACTAGTTTCTCTCTCTCTCTCTCTCTCTTCAGAAACAATTTTCGAACTATGTAATATGATTGAATATGAATATAAAACTTTTAATGATATAAATTACTTATTGTCTAGAAATAAACATGAATCAATGTTAAACACGTGTATGTCCTTTGGTCTGTTTTTAAAGAAATATTTGTTTAAATTCTGTCTTAACAATAGGAAATAGGACCAAAGTACCCTTGTAAGACGAAAAATCAGTAAAATTCTGAAGTTTTTGAACACATAGAAGTTTGTCTCTGAAAGAGGAAGTCACGATGTCTTTAATCGACAGTAAATGGTCAACCATAAAAAATAAAATATTTAATTCATTTTGCATCTTGAAAAGCATTTTTTTTTGCAAAATCAATTAGCATACACAAAAAGATATTCCCTCTCGAATGTAGCTCTTTCTTGTCTCAAACATTTTTATAGAACTTCTTTCAAAAATTTATAGAAATAAATGATGAATAAGATATGGCTATGAAAGGGTAGAGAGGTTAAACGTGGTTTCTTCGTTCTTTGGTTCCTTAATTCTCTGAATACCTCGATTTCTTTGGCGTGAAACTGACGAGGTTGTTTAGAATCGTCTACCACGATCTTTGCCCCCTAGCTCGTATTTCTACAAAGAACTGTGGTTAAAGGGGAAGAAAAAGTCATATTCTTTTTTGAAAATTGACTCTCTCAACCTACGAGGATACTTATTTGAATATTACAGTTTAGAAGATGGAGCAGTTGGTTGACCCATGTGACGGTACATATTGTCGCCCTGTATATATTGTCGCCGACAGAGGGGCGACAATATGTGCAGTGAGGGTAGGGACATATAGTCGCGATCGACAAAATGTACAGCCTTCGACAATATGTACCGATGGACGACAATGTGTGCAGTAAGGGTACGTACACATTGTCGCCGTGCAGGACGACAATATGTACCGTCACAATCGCGCTGCATGAAATAGCCTACAGACTTACACACCAAGTTAATTCACAAAAGTACAAAAAAATCCTCAATCAACCCTAATTGTAGGGCGACAATATGTGCACCGAGGGTAGGCACATAATGTCGCAAGCGACAATATGTACATGTATAAGTTTTCAGCCGGCGACAATATATGTCAATGGACGACAATGTGTGCAGTGAGGATAGGAGCATATTGTCGCCGACGACAATATGTACAAAACGACAATATGTACTGTCACCCACCCACCCCTATTGTGTGCACATTGGTCTTTTAAGATTTTGTCAAACAGAAAAAAAATTATTCATTAACATTAACCAATTTCCGACGCCTTCAACTAAACTTTTCTTTAAATCTACATATTTGTTTTGGAAATAGTATCAGGAAAAACACTGCTGTTTGCTATCTGTACGAGGTGAAATATACTCCTTCTGAGAGGGAAAACTCTGGTTTATTTACTTTCAATAAAAGTTTATATAAAAGTATCCCTTTTTATGAATAATTAACGGCACTCTTATGGACTAAAGATAAGTTAGAGCTTTAAGAGGCATTTTATACCCCTTCTCATATTGGTTTTGTTATAGATGGAGGTTTGTGTCTTTCTGTCTTGAATCTTCACTGGAATGGCTTCAAGCTTTAGTAGCCTATAAACATGTTATGAACTTGACTCGAGGTCACATATCAAAGGTCAGCATCACTGACCAAAGAGATATTGAAAACGCAAAAACAACTCAGAATCTTTTCAATAAATGGGTCAAAATTACATGTAAATGTTTTGTTTTGTTTTCTGATACTTGTTCTACGTAAGAACAATTGCTAAAACGAAGACAGACAATTGACAAATACGTTGATAATACAAGAACATCAATAATCTTGTTTAAAGTCAACATTTCGCAAATTCTTTGGTCGACACAATGACTTTGTTTGCAAGAACAATCTTTGGGTTGAATATTCACTGACGTTTTTCATACAAAATGTTACTGCAATTATTTTCACCCTCAATTGTCTACGGATTTTCCGTTCACCCGATCATGACAAGGAACACATGGCGGGTGTGACCGGTGGGCAGAGAATGCGTACTCCTCTATGACAGCTGATCCCACCTCTGTTTTCAGAAGTCCGTGTTGGCTCTGCTCATAAATTGTATTGTTTAAATTGACTTTTGAGAATGAGCACTGTTCTTTATGTTCACATTTCATGTATATTAATAGGTATTCAATGTGTGCAATGTCACAGCGTTATATCCCTACTCCAAAACTGTGAAGCCATCCCCCTTACCGCCGTGTAGGTGTTACCCTAACGCATAGACTACATAACAATCAGAAAAAACGCTCCATTGCATGACACTTACCAAAAGTAGTTTGCATATTTTTAGAGGGTTCATTTCAAATTATTTTATTAAGTTAAACTTTAAATTTATGCTTAATTCATTTTCCTTGTAAGTGTTCTAAGAAAGCCAATTTTCTTCAGTTAAAAAAATAATAATGTATTATGATCCATGCCTAACTATTAATCAAAATATTGACATGAATCACTTTTACACCAATAGAAATGTAACAATAGGGGAATTTAAAGGATATTTTAAAGAAACTTCGCGTTGAGGAACAACACTCTCCATAATCGGTTTAGGAAGAGCGTACATGTGTTTGAAATACATTCTTTGGTTATAAATATCCATGCTGACAAACACGTAAGACAAACTTCCTTTTGCAATTTGAAAAGAGTATACAGTTGCTAGAAGTTTAGTTTTTTTTGAAAAGAGAAAAGATGACATCCGTATAATACTATGTGAAATGGAGACCAATTGGATACTATTTTATTTTGTTAATTTGGTGTGTGTTTCAGCCATCTTCAAAGGCAAGTTAATTTCTTAATTTGAACATTTTAACTGTTGATAAATATTGATAGTACATTGATTGTTTGATATTATGTTTTACAATAATAACAGAAAGTGTGGGGGGGGGGGGTCACTTACTCTGGTAAATTCTTCTCATTAACATGTACACTAGTTTGTTTCATACTTAAAGTTGAAAGAAAAATTTCCTTTTCATCTGAGAACTTTTGTACCACATGGAACAAAGAGGTTCTGGTGGATCGAGTAGGAGGATGATCTTAATGATGTTATACAAAATATCATTGCATTATTTTAATTATAGAATTAACTAAAAAAAATTGTGCACGATTAAAAATACATATATGTGTAAATATCTTGATAATTAACAAGTTCATCTGGAAAATTTTATTTTCATCTAGAAGAAAAAAATCGGAGATGCATTTAAGTCATACAACTTCATAATCATGGTATATGTACATCTTTCAAAGTTTGACTCAATGATTTTTATCTTTCCCCCTTTTTATCTGAAAAGGGATACATTTTGAGACCGAATAACACTAAACAAATAATTTTTAAATTAAAATTAAAAATGGCTGTAACGATTGTTCCTAATTTATTTTACTTGGAACTTAAAAACGGCAGTACATGTAGCAATAATCATTTTACGACAGTTACATTTTTAAAATTTAGTTTAAGGTCATTTAAAGTAATAAAGGCTATAAGGATCGCAGAATGGTGTAATGAAGGTTATGGAAACAATCAATTTCTAATGTATTCTGTTAACAAACGTAAAATCGATTAATTCTATACATTGAGTCAGTTTTTGGCAAACAAATTGCAAGTACATGCATTTGAAAGTATATGCACCTAATACCACCCGATTATCTGGATTAGAATATAGATTGCATGCATAGGCATCTTTTTGCAGTCATTCTACAAAAACGTGACCAAATAACAATTTTTCGTGTCGCTTACAAATTTACGCTCGTAGCATCGTATTTATAACTTAAAAATCGATTTCGATTCTAAGACTTAACATGTATAGTTTTATAAATATTTGACAACATATATGAAGAGTTGTCACAGGAACATAATGCAATGTTTAAAAACTTATTCCACTGGAAATCTCAATGTCGCTTCACTCATTTACAAATTTCAAGACAAAACTTTCAGTTGTATAGGTGCTCAAAATAAATTGCATGGATTTCAAAGAATTTTTTTTCCTGTATAAAAAGGTAAAATTAATTCTTGTAAATGTAACGTTTTTGTTTTAAATTGCACACAACCACAGCTGCTTGTGGACAGGACTCTCTCTCTCCCCCCCCCCCCAATATACACCCTGGGTCCAAGGATATTTTCATTCGTCTTTTTCCATAAATTAATCTTCTAGTACACATTTACAATGTATTCCATATGAAAAATCTAAAGAAAAATAACATAGAATTAATGTTTTATTAAAAAATCATACCCGCGGTATTATAAAATATTCGGGAGGGGGGGGGGGGTTCCTGTCCACAAGCACCTGTGCACACAACCCTTGCAGATCTGACAATGAAATAATGACCATGGAATCTAATATGATCGATTCTAGTTTCGAGTCGGAGTATTAAGACCATTGCATTATCGACATAGCAAAATGAATAATACAAAAATATTTGTCTCTCTTAAAAATTTAATTTCCCTAACGGTAAGCCAGGAATATTTTTGCATTTAAGATATAAAAAGTTTGAATTTTGGATTGAAATACTTAACACTTTTGAGAAGCGTTTGTGAAACACACTGATGCCCGAATGGCAGCTTATGGTGTAGGTTTAACTCGATCCAAGGTCAAGAGATCAAAAATGTTGGTATCCCAAGAAAGGGTCAAGGGATATACCTGTGAAATATGAAAGCCCTAGCACAAACTAATCAAAAGTTATGGCCAAGGTTAAAGTTTTTTTTTTCAAAAGGAAGTCAAACGTCAAGGTTAAGGAAGCTCTAAACACTGCTCACTAAAGAGTTCAAATTCCATGGTAGTGTTTTTTGCGCTTAGAGTGATCTGCTCTTTGATGTAAAATGGAATACATGGAACTCTACATTAAATGACACAATTTAAAATAGATTAAAGCATTCTTAATAGTATATTAGACCAAGATAAAGTAATTGAAAACATTATTTTCAAGTACTTTCCAAACTTAAGTAAACAGAGGTGATTTCAGTTCAATAATACTTCATTGTCTTTGAACATTTTTTGTTGTGGAGAAATATGGCAGGTACCCTATATTGAAAATGAAGTAGAAAAATTCAATATGTTCATCTTTATGTGATAAAATTTTCTCAAAGTCCAAAAAACATTTTATGTTAGTGTTTAGAGCTTCCTTAATGGTCAAAATCAATGGTGCCCAAGGGAAGGTCTTATCATTAGAAATACACATGTGAACGATGGAATCCCTATCACCAACCATTCAAAAGTTATGGAAAAGGTTAAAGTTTTTCAGAGGTAGGTCAAACTCAAAGGTCAAGGATAAAAGATCAAAACTGTTGGTACCTAACGCAAGGTCTTGTCATAAGGAATACACCTGTGAAATATAAAAGCCCTAGTACTAACCGTTCAAAAGTTATGGACAAGAATAAAGAATTTTCAATAAAAGTAGGTCAAACTCTGCGGTCAAAAATGTTTATACCCAAGGAAATGTCTTCTCATAAGGAATACACATGTGAAGTATGAAAGCCCTAGCACAAACTGTTCAAATGTTATGGCCAAGGTTAAAGTTTGGTAATATTTTGCAAAAGTGGGTCAAACTCCAAAGTCAAGGTCAAGAGATTAAATATGTTGGTACCCAAAGAAAGGACTTGTCAAAAGGAATACACGTTAAACATGAAAACCATAGCTCCAACCAATCACAAGTTATGGGCAAGGTTAAAGTTTTTGTGGACAAACAAACAGAGACACAGACGCACGGACAGGGTAAAAACTATATTTTAAGGTTTATAAACCCTCTTCTCACTCATATAAAATCCTGCTTTAACTCTAATGATTTTCCAAAAGAAATGTGTTTAACAAATAAAATAAGAACAATTATAGCATAGAATCGATGAACCTTAAGCGCGCAAGGTTCAATATTATACATTTATTAGTATTGATTTATATAGGAACAAATTTTTAAAGGTATAACAAATTGTTGTATTTGCATAAAACATTCAGTATAAAATAATAAAAATTGCATGTAGCTGAGAGTAACATACATTTATTGACTGGTTTCGAGGACAACATGCGTTTTGTCGGACCCAAGAACCAAACTGTTTGCCTGAGGCGTAAGGCCGAAGGCAAAGGTCGGCAAAAAGCATTTTACCCGAGAATCCAGTCAATAAATGTTTTGTTTCACCTTTTACGTATTTTGACATATCTTGTGCTGGCTTCCATGACGTAACACGGCGGTTTCAACTAGGCAAATTCCGTAGCTGTCGAACACCAACGAATGCAAATAAGATATAGCTGATCCCGCCCATAGTATGACGTTACTGGTCCAATATCTCATCGACAGGTCCAATATCTCACTCTGCGGTCTAACATCGATTTTTTTTTTTGGGACCACTCAGTAAAACATTGGAAATGTGTTACGTTTTTAGTATAAATTTATAAAGGAAACTATTTTTAAAGGTATAACGATGAAATTGTTTCACTCCAAGAAAACCATTGTCAACTGAGGCTTCAATGTTACCCTCAACTACGAGGGTCTGGTTTAGATTATACCATAAGGAATGGAGAAAAAGTCACACGTTTTGATGTCATTGTTTCTTTGGAAAAAAATCCTATGATTTTAAATTTTTTGAAAGTTCTTTGAGTTTTTGAGAATCCATACTTCATTAACACTTTCTGAATAAGTTTTAGCACAGTACGTCTGAAGTTTCTCCTTCACGACAGTTAAGATTTTATGTGAGGAGTAAAAACTGAGGCTTGGTGAAACATTACTGAACCCTGCAATATATATTTCTTTGTAAGGATTTTCATTATTTTTTTTTAATCCAGTATAGGCACGGTGATTAAAATTCACTTTCATTGACTGGAATGTTAAAAGGATTTTAAACTGAAACTTAGGTGATTTTAAAGAATTCATCTTTTGAAAGGGAATGTGAGTATAAGTTGGATTATGAAATGTGCAGTTGAAGTTCTTACAAATATGCAGTTGTAATACATGTAATGAGCCTTACAAACACAGACTATATTGTAAGAAGCTTTGTCAGCTGGAACCAAAATATTGTTAATGTAGCCTTTCCCATTCTTGTTTAAAAACATTGCTTTGAGGTCGTCATTTTCATTTTATTCTATATTTTATGCTATTTACATCACCAGTTATGGTGTGTCCAGTAGGACTATATATGACAGGAAAGGAAGAACAAAAAACCAGATTCCCTTCTCCTGTATGACGACAAAAGGAGAAGGGGCTGGTTTTAATCAGACTGGGCTCTCATGGTCCATTAGCACTGACACAGAATAAAATAAATTTCATTACTCTCACATAATTTTTTTTTTTAACAGATGTGGTATACATTATGGACAAATCTGGGAGTGTAAAGGAGACAGATTTTGATGAGTCTGTAGATTTTGTGTATAACGTCACAGAGTACTTGGCAATCGGATCATCCGATATGCAAGTCAGTATAGTGGTGTTTTCCTCTTCTTATACAGAAGAATTCGATCTCAATGATCATACTGCAAAATCAGATCTATTGAATGCCATAAAGAACTTACGTGGCACAAGGACCACAGGGAGAACCTATACTTATGACGCAATTGACTACGTCAGGGAATATTCGTTCACGTCTGCAAAAGGAGGAAGAAGTGGAGCCAATAGAACGGTTGTGATTCTAACAGATGGACTGTCTAATAACGGAAGTCGAACAATAACAGCTGCAGATAACCTACGCACGGAAGGAGCAGAAGTGTTCGCAATAGGAATTGGGTCAACGGTGTCAAGGTCAAATGAAGAATTGAGGGGAATTGCCAACGACCCTGATTCTTACTATGTCCACTATATTGATACCTTTGTCTATCTGTGTAATCTAGTTCCAGCTTTAGTTCCCAAACTTGGTATATCAATAAACGACTTTTGCTACCTGTTAATTAAAAAATAACATTGACTTATAAAGTTAAGAAGATTAAAGAAAACTTGAATGCGACGAGTATTAGATAAAGAGAAATAAGCGTTACGATTTTGCCATAACTTCAGTGATTTAACTATGCAGTAGTATAAGGCTGACTTCGATATTGTTTAAATTCCAGACAGTACAGTGACCCCTTCATTACTCGCTGATTGCCCTACCCCACCAACCACAACTCCAGACCCCTCCATTACAACAACAGTACAAACCACAGTTACATCTACAGCATCAACCACAACAATAGCTGATACAACAGGTACAACAACAATAGCTGATACAACAGGTACAACAACAGTTGCTGATACAACAACAGAAAGAGATACCACTTCAACAATACAAACAACAGAAACAGGGACATCAACAACAGTACAAACACAACATACAGGTATAAAAACTCACAAACAACGGTTTTCACAATTGTAGCTATTTATTGGAGGTTGAAAATCTTGATTTATATATTCATTTGTCAGTATATATTAGCTTACAATGTATTTTTGAAGAAAAAGAGTCAAATGTATATTGTGTAATACTAACAGTCCTTAATGCCTACCTTACTGTTTCCCCAGGTAACAGTGCATATTCCTCCTCTTCTGGAAGTGGATCATCAAGTAAGTGTGCATTCCCTTAAAAAATGTCATCATATTTAACACAAAATTATAACAGTAATAACCATGGACGTTCATTTTTTTAGGTAACACAGCGGCCATTGCAGCAGGTGCTGTGCTGGGAACACTAGCGGCTGCGGCTACCGTTGTTGCCACAGCTAGTCTTCTACGTCGGTGGTAAGCTCTCTTAGAATAACCATTTTATAGGATGGCAATAAAAGAAAACAAATCGTTTGTTCAGAGAGAAGTCATTTTTCTGACAGGACCTCGTCTTATTTCATAAGGGAGTAGCCCTGTCTGAAAGATTGTTTATATATGCAGCTAATTATATGTGTAAAAAAAATTCAAATATTCTCACATATTCTTTTAGCAAAAAAAAAAATGTTCTCACATAGGCTAATGGAGGTAAAAATAAGAACTTTGATTATTCTAGGCATCTATCAGTGAAGGAAGATCCAGTGGTCCTAGCAGCAGTCGGACAGTACCAGCAAGCTCCTATAGGACCTTCCAAGTCCATGTTTAATTTTGCATAAAAATATAGTGTACAAATTGGTGCTTGATTTTAAAAGACAAATTATCTTTGGACTTGTTTTCAACAAGTTGCAAAAATCTTTACGCAATGCATATTTTTCAAGTTACCTTTTTTATAAAAATAAATTTGGAGTTTCTGTGTGCATGCATTTTTACCCTCTCACTGATCCTATGTTTATGTGCCGTTTTTTTTAACTGAATATTACGCCGGATGTGCATGTGCATTTTTTAAAAAGTGCAAGAAAATGTGCATTCTGATTGACAATCATTGATCAAACTAAAGGTTGAAGTGGAAGTGTTCAACCATGCAATATGGAAGAATATATGGAGAGTCAGTATAACATAAATGATTCCTTGTATTTCCATTTCATTGTGAAGGCCTCACATGTCAATTTCAATAGTCCCCGCCCAGTGATCAAACACAAACACAGCCGCACGAGATTTGCATGCATATTAGGCCTCCTCAGCGTAAGACACAAAGACAAACGCACGAGATTTACATGCATATATTAGGCCTCCTTAGCTCCTGGCCTATTGCTTGGCGAAATTTACATCAAGAAATCAACTCAACTAACTTTCAAAGAGTTACCACAGAGAAAAAGAATAGAAATGGAAATATTTCTATATATGATCCTGTCTTTTTAAAAATAACTGGTGATCAATTTTTAAATGCATTGATGTAGTCCTAATTTTCATAATTCAAATTCAATTCATTAAATAGAGCAATGCTTTGGATATTATAGAAAATATGTATAAATAAATGAAAAATAAATCTGTTTCCTTGGATACGAACCCTCGTATGTAGATTCCCAAAACTTTTATGATTGATATTCAAAACAACTAACATGACCTTCAATTTTAACTATCACATAATCTCTAACTGGATTAAAGAAGCTACCATATAGGGTTTAATATTGCTATAAAGTTAACAAAATCCAGCAATTTTCTATCTTGGTAACCATAGCAACATTTCTATTTTCTTCATCAAACTTTATCAATATATGATTTTCAACTTTAGTTCTATCAGATAAATGAAATTCAAGGTGAGTCAAATAATGTTTCTTGATTAACAGGTAACTAAATTCTTAAAGCATCAAAAAAAAAAAAAAAAAAAAAAAAAAAAAAAAATCACCTTAAACCACTAGTAGCACGTTGTTTCCATGGTTACACTGCAATGTAGCATTTAATCCCAATTTTTCTTATTCTATCTGTAGTAAAATGTCCTATAAATGTAAAGTTGCCAGTCTTGAATTTCATGTTTTTCCTCAAGATAGCAACATTAACCAAAAACTTACAATATGTAAGAGATTCAAAAGTTTCATTTAACATGAATACATTCAAATACTTTGCTCTCGAAACACCTTATGAAAACTGAAACATTTTCATCATATTCAATTTTTAGATCACATTTTGTCTGTAGTTCGTCTGTCTGTCTGTCAGACCGTCTGTAAACTTTTCACATTTTCGTCCTCTTCTCCAGAACCTCTGGGCCAATTTTAACCAAACTTGCCACAAAGCATCCTTGGGTGAAAGGGATCCAAGTCTATTCAAATGAAGGGCCACATCCTCATTCAAGGGGAGATAATTAGGAAATAGTGAAAATTTGGTGGCATATTTTAAAAATCTTCTTCTAAAGAACCACTGGGCCAAAAAAGGTGAAACTTATAGGAAACCTTTTTTACATTGTGTAGATTCAAGTTTGTTCAAATCATGACCCTCAGGGTTAGGGTGGGGTCACAATGGGGAATCAAATTTTTACATAGGAATAAATAGGAAAACATCTTTAAAAATCTTCTTTTTAAGAACAACAAAGCCCTGTTTAGTCATATTGATATGAAAGCATTTTCAGGTAGTGTAGATTTACTTTTGCTCAAATCATGACCCCCGGGGGTAGGGTGGGGTCACTATGGGGGATCAAAGTTTTACATAGGAATATGTAGGAAAAAATCTTTAAAAATCTTCTTCTGAAGAACAACAAAGCCATGTTTATTTATATTGATATGAAGCATCCTTAAGTTGTGTAGATTCAAGTTTGTTCAAATCATGACATCCGGGGTAGAGAATGGCCACAATGGAGGGGGGGGGGGTCAAAGTTTTACATAAACTTGAAAATCTTCTTCTGAAGAACAACAAAGCCATGTTTAGTCATATAGATATGAAGCATCCTCAAGTTGTGTAGATTCAAGTTTGTTCAAATCATAACACCCTTGGCGTAGGGTGGGGCCACAATGGGGGATCAAAGTTTTACATGGTAATATATAGGAAAAAATCTTCTCCTCAAGAACAGAAAAGCCATGATTAGTCATATATATATGGAAGCATCCTCATGTTGTGTAGATTCAAGTTCATACCCCCTAGGGTAGGGTGTGACCACAATGGGGGATCAAAGTTTTGCATAAGAATATACAGGAAAAAATCTTTAAAAATCTTCTTATCGAAAATAGCAGAGCCATGATTAGTCATTTTGAAATGGAAGCATCCTCATGTTGTGTAGATTCAAGTTTGTTCAAATCATGTCCCCCGGGGGTAGGGTTGGGTCACAATGGTGGATCAAAGTTTTACGTACGAATATGTAGGGAAAAATCTTTAAAACTTTTCTGCTTAAGAATAACAAAGCCATTTGTTATATTGATATAAAAAGCATTTTCAGGTAGTATAAAATTCAAGCCCCCCCCCCCCCCCCCCGTAAACTTCTTATTAGTGACCTGATTTGTGCTTTTTCTTAGCCAATGTGCTCAGGTGAGTGATGTGGTCCATGGGCCTCTTGTTTGCATAAGTCATAAGCATAAAAATGCTTCCTTCTAGCATAATTATTAAAGCAAACTACCTTGTTCATATCAAGTCAGACCACATGCAGTTGCATTATATCAAATCATAATAAATCACAAAATTATACAGTTTTTACCAGTTTATTCCAGTTTGAGTTATCATGAAAATGAGACAATACTGTGAAATATTCTGGCCTTCTTGTATCACCTGAGCCATGCTCTGTTTACTAAATTTGATACCAAAATGATTCTTTTGTCCTTTGTCTATGAGTCACTTAAAAACAAATGATATAATTATTGCCACATGCAGAATACATTCAAAAAAGAAAACAAAAACTGAGAAATATTTCTTTTTTTTCCAAACATTAATCATCTTTACACATGACATTTATCCTTTTTTTTCTTTTGTGCTGCTGATGTTTTTTAAATACATACTATAAAAGCAGAAATATTCGCGGGGGATTAAATTTCCTTTATTTCGTTGTTAACAATTATCAACAAAATTAAATCCCACATGAAATTTTCATATGACTATAAATTGAATAGGGTTTCTTTCAAAGCAACGAAATTAAATGCCCACGAAACCTTTTTAGCTGACAAATCAATGAAATTTTATCCCAACGAAAAATTGTGCTTCTACAGTATTTTTTTTTTCTATTTTCAATGTAATCCTCAACCACTTTTACTCTTTGTAAAATAAATAGCACCATTATAAATATCTAAATAAATAAAACATGATTTCCACTAAAATTATCAAGTGATACAGATACAGCATTAATTTTTATCACCTTGCATTATTTCAGTCTGCATATATGTGAGACAGCAAATGAGAGGGGGAGATTTTTATGTCATCTTTTCTATAAATAGAGAAGTAATTCTCTGAATTTCTTCTTAAATATTTGAATGAAACATACACATCTCACTACATGTATCTTTTATAAAATGTACAAACATGGTTATAAAAAGACATCATTTAAAATTGCTTGTATAAAATGGGCCAAAATAATGCAATGTGCCCAAAAACTCTTCAAAAAATGACAAATGAAATAAATAATATTTACAGTTGTACAAAAGAATATCATGTACATGTACTTATTTCGTAGTGGCCTTTGGAATTTTGGATTCCACTTTAGGCTTAGTTGTTTTGCTTTTAGTTGGAATTAACTTCCTAGGCAGTCTGGACAGTAATTTCTTGTCCTCCTTGTTTTTGTTAGCACTTTTTTCATTGGTCGAGGTTGAGTTAGTACTGTCCAATCCCTGAGCCTGTTTCTTCTCATTGTCCTCAGTTCCCTGAGACTGTTTTCTGAACATTCGGAACCTCCCAGGCTGGGGAGTTACTTTAGGCTGTGTCTTTGATTTGTTAGAAACTGCCTTTGATGGAGGAGTGTCTTTCTTTGAGGACCCATCTTCTGTCTTTTGGCTGATAGCTTTTGGAGATCCTGTGGGTATCTGTTTCACAGTACCATTTTCTTTTACAGGCACAGGTTTTTGTTTTTCAGAAGCTTTTTCAGTTACCTTGCAAGTTTTCTGTACTTCTTTATCTTTTCTCCCCTCACTACTACTGGTTTCTCCTTTGTTTAGCTCTTTCCCCTCTTTGGCTACCTTTACTTGTATTTTGTTTTGAAGACCATCAGGGGATGGAGACATGTCATGTAAAAAATCAAAGGCAGCCACAGCTTCCTGCTCTCTTTCTCCAAAATGCGAAAAATATTGAGAAAGATCTACAGCTGGTCTTGTTACTGGCATACATCTTACAGCTCCATTGCCTTTTTCTATTAAAGCAGAAAAAAAGAGAAATATTTATTTACATCCTGATTTTATTTTCCAAATTATATAATCTATGAGCTAGTGTATGATCTCAACATTTATTTACCTCCACGCCCAATAAGCCTTGAGCACATGACATGATCAACTCCAATATTGTCATCTAAGCTCTCCATGCTCTCTCCACTTAAATGAACCATGGCATCCAGACTTGATGATCCAAGCTATAAATTTAAGTAATAATCAAATTTAAATTCATATAAAACACTTTATTTAAATATATAATGCTTAGAGAAGAATTAGTCCAAGTTTCAGGTAAATATGAAAATGAAGAACAATACCTTTGGCTTTTTGTTTTCCACCCTCTGGGTAGGTTTTTCCACTATTTTGATAGGAATTCTCTCCTCTGAAATTCTTCCCTCCCCATTTCCTGCACTGGTGACTGGGTTTATGTCATCCTCCATGATGGATTCACACAAGGACTTGAAATCATACTTTCCATTTGGATTAGAAGGTGGTAAATTCCCATAGTATTCAAATTCGTCATTACATGAAGTGTCATCCAT